TGCATGTACATAAAAGAAGACTAGAGAGACATACTGAGATGGCTGGAGCTTAATTTCCTTCCTTCTTTTGGGTAGCCTATCAAAAAGCTGACTTAGCAGGCCTGAGTTCACTTAGTGCAAGAAAAGTCTGATGGTGGCCACAGAGCTCAAAATAATTCCTCTTTCTAGTAAAGCCATTTCCTCAACTTCAGAGTCCCAGTTATTATTATTACATAGGAGCCCTTTCCGTGTTAGACACTAATTCTAGTTATGTGTGTGCTGAGAACACATCTGTGTGGAGATAATAAGGGATTATGTGTGCTCTGTTACTTATGTTTCTCCACTAAAGCTTATTTCACATTTATACCATAAATGTGTGCAGGTTTTTGTGCTTTCATTTACTAACAGAGACTTACATAAATGCTTTTATGTGAACACTCAGTAGAATAATGTTCTCAACTTTCTCCAGATTAATTCAGTGCCGCACAGTAAACAAAATCCCAAGAGGGATTTTTTTCACACTGAATTTAACAAACTGATATTAAAATTCTTAGGAAAATGCTGTGAAATTACAGCTTTTTCACTCTTTTGAGTAATAGAGAGAGTAAGACTGACGTGTTATCAGAGAGTAAGACTTACAAAGCTGCAGTACTGGCAAAAACAGACACACAGAGCCCAAAGGATTGAATTGAGAGCTCACAAACAGGCATACGTATTTATCGACATAGTATATGTTCTTTGTTTACATTGTAAAGTTGGGGAAGGATTGAATGTCAGAGTGTTGACTATATAATAAATAAGGCTGGAGTAACTGGCTATCCTTTTGGAAAATGTCAAATAATACAACAGAAAAGTAGGAATTAAGAACAGTTCAATCACTGAAAAAGAATTTATGCAGTAAACACACTTAAAAGAAAACTAAAATAAGAAAACATTTCATACTCAAAAGACTGGCAAAAGAAATCAGTTTGAGTAATATCAAAACTTAACCATGTACCTAAAGCATTACTCTCGTATTTTATAGGTAGGTATAATATAAATGTTTCAGAGTAAGCTGACAATACCTAGACAATTGGCTTTATCCTGTGATCTCTTATTATTCTTATGTAAAAGTTGTACTCATTGCAACAATGTTTATAATAGCAAACTATTGGAACCAAGTCAGCATTCACTAAGAGAAAATGAGTAAACTCTAATGTATGCATATAAAGGAATACTACATATAAGTCAAAATAAACTGAGCTGTAGCTATTAACATGGATGCATCTCAAAAATGAATGAAAAATGCAAGTTCTAACATATGTACAACTTTAAAACATGTGGTCAGTATTGTTTATGGATATATCTCCATGGCAAAAAAAAAAAACAAAAAACCCAGAAACATGCATGGATATAACAAATGCTAAATTCAGGATAATAGTTACCTCTAAGAGAAAGAGGACAGAGAAAGAATCAAAAGTAAGCATTGATTAAAGCAGAGTGCTCTAACTGTGTTTATACATTTTTCTTTACAAAAAACTGAAGCAAATATGATAAAAGGCACAATTCAACAAAGCTGGATAATGGATATATGGATGGTGAGCATTGTTTTCTAAGCTCGAAATAGGAAGAAGGACAGAGGAGAGAAGGAAATTAAGCTTGTAAGAGAACCCATATTTGGGCTTCCCATTTAGAAGAGCTGTCCCTGTCTAACTACAAAACCCTCAACTTAGTCATTTACTCATGAACATAAATAAATAATCAAGAATTATAGGAAACATACAGTCAATAATACCATATGGAAAGGTGCTAAGAAAGTACACCTTAAAAATTCTCATCACAAGAATACACATGTGTTACTGTGTGGTGATAGACATTAACTAGACTTACTTTGGTTATCATCTTGATATATTATTACAGAATCATTATGTTTTGTACTTTATGTTGATGTATGTCTGTAATCTCTCAATTAAAAACAAAAGAATTATGAAATACTGAAAATTCAACAGGAGGAAAGAAAGGAGTATCACAGTGCACAAATAGAAAGACTAGGCAAGAAGGGAGAAAGGGAAATACTATTGGAAAAAAATTCTAGAAGTGGTAAATGGTGAAACGAACATTGATATGGGTCAGGGTAGTGATTTGTAACATAAAGTTAAAAAAAAAAATCTTCCTAGAAAATGGGGAGAGAAGAGGTATGGATCAGATTATCACTTGATCACACTGTTTTGTTTTTTTTTTTTTAAAGATTTATTTATTTGTTCATACAGAACTGGGGTACAGGCCAGAGGCTCAGGGGTGGCGAGAGGATTCACCAGAGACAGAGTGGGGAGCAGAACAGGCAGATCGATGAAGCAACCTGCTGAGGGGAGCAGCGGGCGGGTCAGGAGAGGTCTGCCGCGCCATGTGGTCACCTCCGGGGCAGGCGGGAATGGAACTCATGCTGAAGTGGCTTTAGATTCTCAGTGCTGTGCTTTAACCCACTGCGCCACTTCTTTGGGCCGATCACACTTCTTTTTTATGTGTTCTCTTTAATTTGGAGAACTTCTAGAATAATCTTAGAAATGTCCTCTTTTATTCTGAGCTGTATTTGTTTTCTACGTCACAAGAATTACTCCAAATTTTTCCCACTGGCTAATGCTCTGGCTTTCTTGCTTTCAATACCATGATACTTGTAACAATTTTCTTGAAGTTTTAAGACAGTCTCTTTTGTTTAAAAAGTTTACCTTCCATTATAATCTTTTGGGTTGTTTTTTTTTTAAGAGTCTGTTAGACTAGCTTCATAATTTTCTCCTTAGATCTATTAATATTCAGTGTTATGTTACTTGGTTCTTATGGATGTCTGTCTTTGCATCAGAAAAAACTGCGTTGGTATTATATTTTAAAGTTTGGTGTTTATCCTCACTGTTTTACTTATATTTATTATCTTTGTCAAGTTTTGACTTGGATTTTACTGGTGTCATAAGATGAATTTGGAAGATTTTTTTTTTTGGAAGATTTTTTAAAAATATACTATTGCCTGTTAATAGTTGACGTTATATACTTTAAAAGTTTCACAGGTGAACCTCATAAACCTTTTAAAGTTTTAAAGGGTATCTGATCCTGATACCTTTTATTGGAAGGAAGGGAACCAGTAGCTGTAGTTTTTTGTGTCTTCTTTGCCCTTCAATTTCTTCCAGAGCAATTTGTCTGCATTTGTATTTTAACATCAACATCTTCTGAGCTAGACTTAAAAAAATCCCGTCTTGTTTGGGAAAGAAATTTTGGCAGTTGTAAAGTAAATTATCAATTGTTTACTAAGATTTCCTGGTTTTAATTGCTGTATTCTTCTAAAGACTTCAAAACTGGACAGGAAATTTACTACCTATCTTAAATTTGTTTTTGTTCTTTCATTTCTTTTTTAGGATTGTTGTAACAGAGTCTCTTGTTTTTCCAAGAAGACATTTTAGAGCCAAACGTGTGTCAACTGTTAGTTTTCCAATATCTTATTCTATTTCTTCGTATAGCTCTATTAATTTCTTCGTATAGCTCTATTAATAAGTATCATTAAAGCTTTTACTCTTTGGGGAAAATATGAAAGAAATTTCCAGACTCATGTCCTCTAACTTCAGCTGGGGCCTAAAGTGATTTGTCTTCATTCTCTGGCTATAAGATTTACTTTTGTTTGGGGAGATATGAAGCTTGACTTCCAGACGTTCATGGTTTGGCCTTGCTCCACCTAACCATTCTTATCATTTTCTACTCCCCAGCAAGAGAATTTCATTCTAATAGAATTAGTTTCATCATTTTCCCTTTGCTCATGCTCCACCTCAGATCTTCTCCATGGAAGCCCAGGAGAGGGGAAGTTGACTCTGTACCCTAATTAAACTTGGGTTTTAGCTTTTGGACCTTGGAGGGATTTAAAAAAAAAAAATGCTGTGGATATAAGACCTTAATTTACTATACTAGAGGGAGTCACTAAACTAGTATTAATTTTTTCTGTCTTATCCTATTCTCGACTAGTTAAATCTTGTTTCCACCATTAATGGAATAGCTGTTGTGACTAAGGTACCAAGATATGTGATGAGGGGACAGAAGATAACAAAATATGTTTTTGTACACAGATAGCAAACAATTGATAAAACACAGTCAATTTTAGGATATCAAATTCTGACTGTAAAGCGAGTCTTTCTGGTTGGTTGATAAACTTTTCATATGTACCATATATATATATGGTATATATATATATGGTACATATATATATATATATGAACTCTTCATATGTACCATATATATATATGCTTACTATATGCTGGACTCCATTCTGGACTCTGGGGATATATCAAATAACCAGACATTTCTGCCCTCCTAGCCTTTGTTCTCCTGGGGAATGGGGAAGGCATATACCTTTTTCAAAGTAAAAAAATTATATATATTAAGATAATTCTGTGTTTTGGAGAAAATAAAGAAAGGAAAGGATACAAACTTGCTCTGGGGGCTTTTGAGGGAGCCACGGAGTCATTGCCATTCTAAATGAGATGGGTGCACTGATAGGGTGACCTGGAATAGAGACGTGGGTGAAGAAAGTAAGGTAGCAAACCTTGTAGCTGTCTTAGAAAAAGAGCATCTCGGGAAGAAGACATACCAAAATGCAAAGAGCCTGTGTTGGGAGTTTGCATACTTGGCATGTGCAGTGTGGCCAAGTGTGGTTGAGTGGGGTGAAGAGAGGGCAATAACAGATAAAGACAGACAGGTAGCAGAGGGCCAGTCATGTTTTGTCCTGTAGGCTTTGCTGAGGACTGGTGATTTTTCACTTGGCAAGCCATATGAGTCTTTTGAACAAAAGAATGCCATGTGATCTGAACCTGTAGCTTTAAAAGGTTTCTTCAGCTACTGTACCAATTCTGTGAGTGAAACAGGAAAGACCATTTCAGATACTATTGGAATAAACTAAGGGAGAAATAATGACTTACAGAAGACTGCCAATGTTAGAGAAAGTGTTCATATGACTCTGTATTTTGGATTTGAAGATATATGTAAAGGGATGAGAAAAAGACTTGAGGATGGTATTAAAGTTTTCATTTGAGCAACTTAAGGTATTGTCATTTTCTGAGACAGAATATAGAAAAAGTAAGTTTTAAGATTGAGGAGTAAGGTCAGAAGTTAGTCTTTGAACATAATAACTTTGAGATGACTTAATTATTGTAGAGATGTTCAGTAGGCAGTAGGACTAAGTCTGAAGGATACGGTAGATTTAAAAATGTAGGATTCATCAGTCTACATTTGCTATTATATCAAACCACAAGATTAGATGATCTTGTGATTTTAAGTATGACTAGAGAAGAAGATACCTAATATTTTCAGGGTATATAAGAAATTAAAGGGGCCTCCCTGATAGTTCTTGGGGTTAAGTCTCAGCATTATAAAGCTATCTGCAGCCATTGCAGCACCAGTTCTATCCCAGCCTGGGAGCTGACCCACGTGATGGCATGGCAGAACTCTCCTATCTTGCCAGCTGTTCCCGCTAGCAGTGTATTTCAGTCAGTCGGCCTGTTTTGCTCCCCACCCTGTCGCTGGTAAATCCTCTCAGCCCTCACCTTCTGCCTACACTCCAGCTCTTATGTACATAAATAAGTAAATCTAAAAAGGAAAGAAAGAAAGAAAGAAATTAGCAAAGGATCACAAAAGATCTTGTTGTATCTGGTTGTAGTAAAAAACTTGAAACTTCTTATCAGTTCTTCTCAAGCTTTAAGATGACTCATTTGTTAAAGTTCAGGTGGGGCCTATATTTCTGCCACTCTAACAAACTTCCAGAAAATTACGCTACTACTTCTCAGTGAACCAGACTTTGGATGGCATGACTTATATAACAAAAGAAACATAAAATGAAAAACAAGGAAAAGACTGCAACATTTATAGAGTAAGGATTAATGTCGTCTTAATTTGTAAGTGCGTAAGAAACGATAAATGAATAAAAGGGAGAAAGAATCTGGATAGGGAATTATTTAAAAAAAAAACTGACACAGCAAATAAACATGAAAAAATGCCCAACTCTGGTAAATACACTTAAAAACAAGATCACCCTTCCCTGTTCAGATTGGCAGAAACTTAGAAGTTCGATAAGCTGTGTTGTCATGATGGTGGGGGAAGGGTGCTCTCTTACCCTGCAGGTAGAATTTGTCTTGGTGTACTTTTCTTTTGGAAGACCATTTGGCATATTTTATGAAATATTTTAATGTGTGTATCCTTCAGTCCAGGAATCCTGCACCTTGCTAGCTAAAAACTGCATCTTTGCCCAATAAGTTAGTTGAGAACTACTCATAGAAGCATTGCTTGTAGTTGTAAAAAATGCAATAGGCTGTATTCACCAGCAAGGACATTATTTAAAAAAAAAAAATCCTGAAACCCCTTTGCTCACTTATTCCCCCATGGTACATTTATTTACCTTATATTTTATCATTACAATTTTAAGTGGTTTACAAAGCCATAATTTCTAGTATGTTGTGATACATTTTAGACTCATTTTTCATGAAGGGAAAAAAAATCTGGCTACTTACTTATCCTGAACATGTTAATATATACTTGTACTGTAACCACGGGGCTTCTGAATTCTAGGTTGGATGGCTGGCTAAATGGATAAGGCTTGGAGCCTTGCCAAGAATTTGTTTCACTGATAAATGAGGTCTTTTTATTTTTCTCTCTTTTCTCTCTAGGCATTTTTCCTCCTCCTGTTTATTTGTTAGATTCTCTGGAATTTACATAGCTCAAAACAGTGTACCTAGTAAGATTGAGATGAAAAAGAGGGTTTATTTTTATACAGTGAAGAATTCCAAAGTGGCAATTTTAAAAAGAGAGAAATAAAAAGAAAAAAACTAATCTTCAAGCAGATCAATTAGGAAGTGTACAAAGAGCTAATGAGAATCTGCAAGTTGATTCTTTGGAAATTATTTATGTCCACAAAATTCAGGTTACCATTGAAAACCTTTGAAACAAGCAGTATCAAAACAGTATTATGAAATGAATGAATGTGTGCTTAATACAACTATTTTAAATGATGCTTATATTATTTAAAAGGAATAAAATATGTATATTATTTGTATATCCAAGAATTGAGGTACATTACTATTAAAATGTTTTATATGTAATATTTTATGTGTGTTGATTTTATATGTGTATATTTATTTTTTTTACTTGAGTATAAAGGAGATGTGGAAGGATTCATAGCAACCTGTAAACAGCACTTATCTTTTGTCAGGGCGCCCATAAAGGTAGGGAAAGTGAAAAGAGATTTCTATCATTTATTCTCACTATACCAATACTGTAACATGAATCTGTTACAGCTGAAAAAGATGCTGTATTATTAGTATAGAAAAAATTTAAAGATGTTTAATAATAAAAGAAAAAACACTATACTAAGTGATCGCTAAGGTTTCTAAGCTCTTAATTTCAAGGAATACTGGCAGCTACTGTGATATTTTAATGGAATATTAAAGCATTTCTAATTTGTATTTTAAAGAATATTTTTTATGTAAATTCTTTGAAAATATTTTTTAGGTGTGGAATATCAAGCAAATGATTAAGTTGACGCAGGAACATATAGAGGCCCTGCTGGACAAGTTTGGCGGGGAGCACAACCCACCATCAATATACCTGGAGGTAAGTGTGGTATACCTGGAGGTAAGGGTTGCATACTAGCTGTAGGAATTTTGCAAAGAAACAAATTAACTCATAGAAATCATTTGTATTGACACTGCTATTTGGGGTGGGCTAGAAGGAGATATAAAAAGTGAGAATTACTTTGTCCTTATTATACTTCTTTTTATTTCACTTGTTATATAAATATATCATAGCTTGTAATTTACAGAATGCTAAAACTAAGAGAAATAACATATATAAACTTCAAAAGATTACACTGGTTAAAAAACTTATTTTAATGAAGGTGAGAAAACATTCTGTTGTGGAAGTCAGCAAATTAGTTGCCATACTGAAAATTTGTTAGATTTTTTTTCTTTTTTCCAGAACAAATCTTGGCCTCACAGTCTAAAACTTTGTTTTTGTTTTGTTAGTTCTTTCATTTGTTTCCTTTTGTACCACGTATCAGTGAAGCCATATGGTACACCAAGACTTTAATATTGATAAAGCCCAGCTTGTTTATTTTGTCTTTGATTGCTGTGCTTTTGGTAGCTATTCTTTTATCAGAAAACACTGCCTAATCCAGAGTCATAATCAGTCTGGTTTTCTCATGAGTTTTAGCTATTGCTTTTAGTTGTGTGATCCATTTTGAGTTTTTGACTGTGATCTTAGATAGTTGTTCATATTTATTCTTATGCTTGCAGATATACCAATTTTACTGGGGCCATTTGTTGAAAGTGTTTTCTTTCCCCTTTGACTTGTCTCGCTATCAAACATCAATTCACCAGACATATAAAACAATAATTCTGCATTCTTACTCTGTTATGTTGTTCTCTATATGTGTACTTATCTAGTATTACTTGTCTAGTTATTGTAGCTTTATAGCAACTTTTGTAATCAGGAAATGTGGATTCTCTAACTTTGTTCTTTTCCATGATTGTTTTGGTTATTCCAAGACCTTTGTCATTCTATATTAATTTTAAGGTCACTACATCCATTTCTGCAAATGATAAGTATTGCATTGACTCTATAAATCAGTTTGGGCTTATTGTCATCTTAACATGAACTGTTCTAGGTTTTTTTGTTTTTTTTTTTTTTTTTAGTTTAAAAATAAGTATCATGTGGGCTTACAAGTACTTGGATTAGTAGAATCCTGTCAAAACTCAGCTAAGAAATCAAATAGCTACAGTAAGAATTGCTGGTACTGTTTACTACTGCTAAAAAAATATGTATTTATTGGGTGGTTTTTTGGTTTTTTTTTTTTTTTTTGCTATATGGTAATATTTATAATGACTTCTTTTATATTGCCTCATTCAGTCCTCACAAAATTACTTCATACAAAAAATAGCCAAATAAAGAAAAGTGTTATAATAGTCTAAGAGAAGATGGGGGGGGGAATACCACCTCTTGGATTTTATCAAGAGTTTGAATTAGACTTTGATAAATGAGTGGGACTTTGATGAGAAGGAATGGGGTTTTGAAAATTTGCCTCCTGAAAGTATCTTGTATCTGAAACATCTTAAAGAAACACAGGAATTTTTTGGTGGTGATGGTGGTGGTCCTGGTCAGACTTGTGGGAAGACTTGTTTATATTTGTAAGGTAAGAAAACAAAGAAAGAAAAAGTTGAAAAAGAACAGAGGGAAGCAAGATATATTGAGATCCTCATAGAAGGACCCTGCACTCCCAGTGCTAGTACTAAGTTTAAAACAGAAGGATGAGGTAAGACAAGGAAATTGCTTACAAAAACAATCTGCAGAGTGAATTTGAAGGTAATGCTGTTTTCTGAGTCAAAGGTTATTGGATAAAGTTAGGAGTCAGAGAACCTTAAGACTAAATTCCATGACTTGATAATGAAACTAATTGGCCTCGTTTTATTATTTTCTACAGCAATATATAGGTAACCGAAGAGAAAGAATGGAATAATGAAATGGTAGATTTTACCCAAAATTGATACTTGATAAGGTGATCAGTAGACAAGAATTAGGCAGAGAATCTACGATATTACCAGTGGGATTCCTGACATGATAAGATGCAAAAAATGGGAGACAACAAAGGCCCAAATTAATGTTGTAGTTGAATGAAATTTAAGAAGCTGGGATATGTGGGTGTGTGCAGGAGGATAGGGGGCTCCAGACTGAGACCTGGTTGTCATTTGCAACTCTTCTGTAAAGAATTGTAATGTATCACTGGCTTTTGAAAGTAGAGCCTTTAGAGATAAGATGGTTAGTGTTCTTTGAGACAGGATTATTGAGAGTAGTCAGCTTCCACACTGAGGTTATGTAGTGGGTCAAAAGAGCCAACCCAGGTGCAAAATAAGGTGGATTGCAGCTGTGAAGATGAAGAGAAGTGGAATAAGTAAATGTTTCACATGTAAGAAAAAACTACTAATAAATGCAATAAAATAATAGCTTGTAATCTATAATGGAAGGATAGTACATTTTGAAAATTTAAGGCTAACATTTTGTTAAAGAAACAACATTCAGAAAATTTATTGTTTACATTTACTTTTCTCCCAATGCTCCCTATGTGTAGTAAGTGTACTTTCTCAGCTGACAGTAAGTAAGAAGATTTAATCTGTGCAGGGAGAAACTTCTGTCTCCCATATGCATGTGTACAGATGTGCATAGCTGAAGGACACTTCAGTAAACAACACTGTATATAAGCCAGTGCTGCTTATAGCCTATATTTATAGGCTAGGTGTGCAGTGGACTATATCATCTAGGTTTATGTAATTAGAATCTGTGATGTTTATACAGTGATGAACACATTTCTCAATTATTTCTGTTGCCAAGTGACACATGACTGTATAATCTTCAAAGTGTATCAGTCTCTCTTTTTACAGTCTGAGCCACAGTGTATGCTACATGCATATGTATGCTATATACGTATATACATGTATGCTATACCTTTATAATTCATGTAGGTATACATTTTTATTGTATGCTCAATATATTTATTTGTTGAATAATTGAATGCTTATTAAGTGGATTAGATTGAAAGAGATGCCCTTAAGTAAGCTCTTGGGTTTTAAAGCTAAAGAAAAGTATAACTCTGAAAATTTTTAATTGATATGGTTGTTATGCCCTGACACACTATGAAAGACATTTCAGAGTCAGGATAGGCCATGTGGTAGGTTGTAAAAGAGAAAACATTTTGATGTAGTTTAGGCCCTCTATCTCAATAAATCATTTTAATAATTTTTTTTTCTTCAAAATTGCATGGTAGAATCTAGCATAACAACTGCTTGAAGAATGAATTTCTTAATTCCTTTCTACCTTTCATAGTTCTCCCTAACATGGAGAGTGAAGTTCAGACTTAATAGCATGCTGTATACATTCTACAATTTGGTTCTTTTGTCTACTTTCCCAGTTTTAGTTCTCTGTACTCTTATTTTTCATTTAAATTCCATAAATATATAATAAATCCTTCTATGTCCAAGTATTATGTGACATTCAGTATACTAGTCTACAGTTTTTCCTCAACGTCTTGAACTTTCTTACCTCCTTCCTTTGTTACAGAATTTCTCCTGTATGTATAAATACAGAATTTCTCCTATCTTCTCTCCACTGACACCATCCATCTATAGACGAATCTCTTAAGACTTCCATCTTCACATTCTCACGTGCATCGTAAACATTCTTTATTTTTCATAAAAAAGTACTTCACAAATAAAAATATACCCATGTGCTTCTCTGCAACCAAGTAATAAACTCCCTGAGAGGTGGGAAATGCCATGTTAAAATCTTTAACTCTGGGCCCTCACTGGGTCGCAGTGGGTTAAAGCACAGCACTATAAAGTTAGCCGCAGCCAGCAGCCACTTCAACATGAGTTTAATCCCTAGCCAGGGAGGGTGACCCACATGGCGCTGCAGGTCTCTCCTGACCTGCCCACTGCCCCCCTCAGCAGTGTACTTTGTCCATCTGCCTAGTCTGCTCCCCACTCTGTCTCTGGTGAATCCTCTCACCACTCCTGCACCTCTGGCCTGTACCCCAGTTCTGCCTGTATAAGTAAATAATTTTTTTTTTAATCTTTAATTCTCCCTTGTAACCTGTCACAGATGTTAGGGTCACATCTGTTTGGGGTAAGAGGGAGAGATGGTAAACTGGAGTGTGGGGAAGGGTAATAGCCACTACTATAAAAAAAAACCCACATAGTCTAATTTATTCCATCTCTCTACTTCTAAAATCATTCTCTTTTGAATATTCTTATTTTTTAGATACCTATCCTGTGTTCATTTGACTTTATAACTTAGTTAAATGAAACTGCTACAATGATAACCTGAAGGACAGCGACCCAGAATTTCTTGACTACAGGATATAAGCCACCTTTTCAAATAAAATTCTGTTCTCTAAAAAGTATTTGGTAAGGAAGGAGGTCATCAGAGATCTGTAGTGAGACTCATAAAGTATTTATTCTACTAGAAAGAAATTGGCAGGTACATATCTTCTAAGCCTGGTCAAGGAAATGATGCCTGGCAATGTGTTCCTGAGTCTTGGTTTTTAACTAATCTCTCTTGGTTTTTCACTAATCTCTTTTCAGCCTTTCTGCTGTTTAAGAGGGAAGGAAGGAATCAATAGAGAACTTTATCTGCCTACAACTTTTATGGAACAAGGGAATTTTTAATGGAGATGTACTTATCCTTGTAACTTACTTATTATTTATTAATAAAACATTTAATCTTATTTTAGATATGTGGCTTGGAATTCAGTCACAATTTGACCAGAAAATTGCAAGTGCTACATTTTAATAATTAATATTCATGGATATTCTAGACATCATATGTATCTGGCATATATGTAATAGTCTAGAGTATTCACAAATAATCTATGTATCTGTCAGTTGCACAATGTAATGTAGTGCCTTACAACAAAAGACTTACCAATTAAAGGTAAAAGTATTCATTTGCAGTACTTCTGGATTTATTTTGTGACTTACAATTTAAAATCCTGCTAACTAGCTTATAAAAGGATTGCAATCAACATCTTGAATTTCGTATTTCCTTTTCTTACTCTCAGGAAAAAGTCCAGACTCAATGTAAGTCTACTTTATTTTGTAGGCCTATGAAGAATACACCAGCAAGCTAGATGCCCTTCAACAAAGAGAACAGCAGTTGCTGGAATCCCTGGGGAATGGAACTGATTTTTCTGTTTCTAGCTCTGCATCAACGGACACCGTCACGTCTTCTTCCTCTTCTAGCCTTTCAGTGCTGCCTTCATCTCTTTCAGTTTTTCAAACTCCCACAGATGTGTCACGGAGCAACCCCAAGTCACCACAAAAACCTATTGTTAGAGTCTTCCTACCCAACAAACAGAGGACTGTGGTGAGTCAGCTTTCAATATCAATGCCTTTTCTTTGTATTTTTTCAGAAAGACCACTGGTTGAAGATTAAATATATTATCACTTCATACTCAGTAGTCATGCAAATGGAAGCATGCATTTCACACAAGAATGGAGAAGATGTAACTCTTAGGTACCAAGTTGATATTCCTTGACTGGAACAAACTATATTTTATGTTAAATTTAACGTGTCAGCCGTCTTCCAAACTTGAATGATACTCAAGCCTTAAGTACTAGCTCAGAATCAATCAGAACTGCAAGACTTGAGCTTGTTTGTTCATCGTGCTAGTGAGATTGGTTCTTCACCCTTGAGAAATTCCTATTCAGATTTATTATATGTTCGACTTTTAACTGTGCTTGATATTTTTCTCTTTGTCTGTATAACTTTTGATTATTGATCATTATCACCATTATATTCTACAAGTAATATTAAAAGCAAGGAAATCTGTAGAATTATTATAGGTGATCTATAACCCTTAAGTGCAACAAATGCTTTTGGTGGACTTAATAAGTAATGCACCTGTATACATACCTGTATACATATGCTTTTTTATAATTATATCGTTTTTTTTGAAATTAAGTTTTAAAAAGGCATTTTATTTCTTATATACAAATTATTTTTAATTTTTTTCCTCAAATAGCATTAGTAGTAATACTGGTTCTTCATGGGAAAAGTTAGCTGACCTGTGCGCTAGTGACTCCAGTGGAGTCAGTTTATCACTCTGTGCAACAAAGGCATGTGGTGTCACTGTGTGAGAATACTTATGAAATCAAAGCTTCACCCAGTGTCACAGAGGTAGTTGAAAATGTAGTTGAGCCTTTGAATAGTTCTACCTTTGGCTGAAAGGTGAAATAGAAGAAAATTTATTTAAGGGGTTAAATTATTATCTAGTAATGGAACTTGTCTGGTTTTGCCCAGGCTCAAAATAAAGGTTAAGCTTTTCCCTGTGAATTCTTCATTATGGTCTTGTTGTCATCATAGCGTGGGGATCATACTTATACTACCACATTGTCCCGGAGCACTCAACCCAAGAAATTAGTGGAACAGCTAGTGATAGAGTAGTCATGCAGTCATCAGCACTGGGCAGTAACAAAGGCAAACTTTCCCTTGATCCATCTAGTTCTCATGTAATTCAGAAATAATATCCCATTGAAAAGCTCAAATCCCAAGTTACAAGCTATAGTAGGAAACAGTCTACCATCGGTGAATTAAAAAACTTAAAACACAAAAAATTAAAAACTTAAAAACCTAAAAAAGGAAACAAATAGAACAGTTAGGTGAACCTAAAATTTCAAACCCAGTGGGCTATAAATACCATTTATGACGTATACTTGCTAAAAAAGCTAGTGTTAATTATTAAATTCTGGGTCTTCCATTTTACATAGGGAAGAAAGGAAAGTGTTAAATACCATGAGGAAACAATTTGACATTCAGAATGTGGACACCCTATAAGACAGATGTCCTAGACTTAGTGTTGTAGAGAACCAAAAACCTTTTTCTATACTCAATAAGGCAGAAGATACATGACTGTCAAATGCAGTGCTTGATCCTGGTTTAGAACTAGGATAGGCAAGACATATAAGAGGCATTCTTGAAATGGGAAATTTTGAACATAGTTTCATGTTTGTGTTATTATGGAGTTAGAAGTAATCTGTCATGATGCTTTCAACTTTTTCCACTGTTTTTTGAAAAAACACTTCCAAAAAAGTCTACAATCTTAAGTGTACAGCTCTATCTACTTAACACTTTTGGCCATGCAAATCAAGATGTAGAACATTGTAGTACTTCAGAGGATTCACCTGTGCCCTCTCTAATTTGATACCCATTTTCAAAAGTAACCATTGTTCTGACTTGTCTCTTAATCAGTCACTTTGGGAATTACTTTCGAATATATGATGGAAAGTAACCTGTTAGGAAAATAAATATTAAAAGAAATCTTTAGTATCTCAGGTAGAGAAAATTTGGATGTTAAATTACTATTTCTTCTAATTTTCCATTTGAAGTTTTTCATAATAGAGCTACAAAAATTTAGATAGTAGAAAGGAAAAGTAGAAAGTTGTCACTAGGGACAAATGAAAGAGTGAACATATTGATAGTGACTTGAGGAGATAGCCAGGTGCAGTACTTTCAAAAAACTCAGTATGTCAAGATGGTTACAACATATTACAGAATAAATATTAAGATGCTATATCTATTTTTTTAAAAACTCAGTGGATGAGGCGATTAGTAGATTAAGCTCAATTGACAGGAGAATTAGTGAACTCTAGAAAATGAGAAGAGAAACATAGATGAAATCTTCGTGACACTGGATTTTTTTGGAAGCGGTTTCCTGAGTATAACACCTAAAGCACAGATAACATAGGAAAAAGTTGAGAAATTGAAACTCAGATCAACATTACATACTTATGTGAAGCAAAGACCACAACAAGGGTGAAAAGGAACCCAAAGAATGGGAGAAAATATTTGCAAGTCATACTTGATAACAGGTTGCTATCCAGAATATATATTTTTAAATGCCTACAATTCAGCAAGAGAAAACTCCAAATAAACAGTTGAAAAATAGACAAAACATCTTGAACGGATACTTCTTATGCAAATGCCCAACAAATACATGAAAAGATGGTCAACATCACTAATTGCCAGAAGCATGCAAATCAGAAGCTACAGTGGATACCATCTCATGCTCATTAAATGGCTACTATCAAAAAAAGAAAAAATAGCATGTGTTGACGGCAGAATGTAGACAAATTAGAATTCTTGTGCATTGTTGATGGGACTGTAAGATGGTAGGATGGCTGTGGGAAACAGTATGGGGCTCCTCAGAAAGGTAAAGAATTGAATTACCATATGATCCAGCAGTTATACTTCTAGACATATATTCAAAACAAACTGAAAGTAGTTTCAAAGAGATAATTTGTACACTCATATTCATAGCAGCATCATTCACAATAGTCAAAATGTAAAATCAGCCTTCCTATAAATAAATGGCTAAACAAAATGGATTATTTATTATTCAGCCTTAAAAAGACTAAAGTTCTGACAAATTCTGCAGCATTAATAAAATTTGAGGATGTTATATGAAGTGAAATAAGCCAAACACAGAGACAGATGCTATATAATTTCCCTTATATAGCAAAATTCATGAAGACAGAAAATAGGATGGTGATTGCCAGGTCCTAGAGGAAGAGGTGATGGGGAGTTGTTGTAATGTCTATACAGTTTCAGTTTTGCAAGATGGAGAGCGTTCTCAAGATTGGTTTCATAACAGTGGGAAATTACTTAATACAGATATTTAAGAAAGGTTCAGATGGTAAATTTTAAGTTGTAAATATTTTACCACAATTTTTCACAAGTTTGAAATTTTATACAAAGTTAAACATGTACCTAGCCCATGATCTAGCCTTTCTATACCTAGGTGTTTATGCAAGAGAAAGAAAACATACATCCATACAAAAATTTGTATAAAACTGTTCTTAGTTGCTTTATGTGTAATTACCCCAAACTAGGTATAATCCAAGTAACCATTCATAGGTGAGTGGTTTGTAGTATTAATATACACAACATAGTTAAGTCTCAAAATTACGCTGAAAGACAAAAATTAATATATACTTTATATTTAGATAAAATTCTAGAAAGTGCAAACAAGCTCTTCTATAGTGACAGGAAGCAGCAGATCAGTATTTGTCTGGGCTTGGAACTGGGCAGGAGGGAGGAATTAATTACACCAGGAGCACAAGGAAACCTTCAGAAGGTAAACATTTCATTATCTTGAATGTAGTGATGATTGTGTGAGTGTAGATAGTGTAAAAATAATCAAATTATATATTTAAATCATAGCAGTTTATATATGTCAGTTATACCTTAGTTAATCTGTTTCTTATGAGAAACTGTACACCTGAAAAACAGTATTACAAACTAATATTAACTCAGTTTAAAAAGGAATGAAAAAAGAATGACTGCATCAAGAGAATTGTAGCTCTATCTAAATACCATGTGAAATGAACTTTAATGACAAAAAGAAATATTAAGTATGATGATAGGTCTTTCCAGGAATTTGTTTCTTTGAAGATAACCATCCTCATACTTAATAATTATCTTTAAAGAAACAATTTCGTAGAAAGGCATAAGAATTCTAAACACAGTGTACATAGCATCAGCTTCAAAATATATAGAACAGTAGAATTCTATATAAATGAACAAATTCACTTTGCTAGTGGGAGATTTCAACACATCTTCTCCAGTAATTGATAGAACAAGGAGGTGTAACAGAGTTATGTATAGAACAGTGTAGTTGTAGATTTTATATACTAGACATAACCGTTATATTCATCTATATAAAATGCATTTTTATTAATTTTTCAAGAATGTGACACCTAAAATTTTTTGCCACACTTTAGGCAACAGAGGGTATCATGGGAAACCACATTTTTAGAAATTTGAAGACATTTCTAAGTTCTTATTATGGAAAATTTTTTATATTCACTTTAACAACTGATATGGGACAGTTTAGACTGATACTTTTTGTTTCTATGTAAATTTTCCTTTGACAGATATTCACATATTGCACTGATTTCTAGCTCTTTGTTAAGTAAGATGCTTGTTTTCTAATACATATATATATATTTTTAAGATATATTGCTACTACTTGGATAGCCTAATCAAGAATATTTCATTTTGGAATTGGAGAGAAAGCAAAACCTGGTTCTTTTGAAAATTACTTTAGTCTTTTTTTAAACCTTAAAACAGACCACCCTCTCTCTCTTTTTTTTTTTTTTTCATTTTTTTAACAGGTGATTTTTTTAGATGTTATTTACATCAGGAAATCTTGTTTATACCCTTGTTCATATGCATTCAATTTTAGGTATCTCTTTTTACTTGCAGGAGAAAGGGAGAGAAAGAGGAGAGGACCGAGGGAGGCAAAAGAGAGGCTCTTTTTTGCTTGTCTATTAGATTTTTGCCAGTGAAATCATTGAAAATTATCCTGGCAAATTTGAGTTTGCTTTTCTCGAGTTCTCAAAAAGAATTAGCACCTTTTAATGAAGGACATTTGTATTTCTGTTTCAAGAACTGTCTTATATGTCCTTTCCCCATTTCTCTGTTGGGTTGCTGGGCTTGTTCTCAATTTTTCAGAATTTCTTAATATCAGGAAGATTATGTGCCTATTATATTGCAAATTTTTTCTCAGTTTTCATTTGTCTTTTGATTTTGTTTGTAGTGTATGTGTTTGTTTTACCATCTTAAGAGTTGTTAGTTTTATGTGCTTGATTTTAATATTTTCTTTTGCACTTATTCATGCTTTAAAGGACTTCTTCACTTGAAGATCATAAAGAGCTTGCTATATTTTCCTCCACTTCTTATAGAAGCTTTGTTCTTTCCTCCTCTTAACATTTAAATCTTGATCCATTTGGAGTGTGCCCCAGTATATAGTAGGAAATATAAAGGAACATTTTGCCCTCTCTTGGTTCTCATCCTAACACCAATGATTAAGAAGTTCACCTTTATCCTTCAGATGTTGCCTTTATTTTCTAATTTCCTATATATATTGGAGGCTCCTTTTGGTCTTTCTAATCTTTTCAGTGGCCCGTCAATTTGTTGAATAGTCACTACAATGAAAGAGCAAATGATCCAAAAGTTAAACCTACAAAAGTGAAATGAGAATGGATTGATTGCTTTTCCTGGGTGTTAGAATGGAAAATCAGACTTTTGCCAATAGTGAAACTTACATACATACACCTTGGGATCAACCTGTGCAAAGAAACAAGGGAGCATGGCTATAGTTAAAGATGGTACTTCAGGAGCACATGAGGGAAAATTCAGAGGAACTGAGGGGTAGGTGGCTCCAGTTCACTGATGGTCTTACATGCTATAATGTGAAATTTGAATTTTGCTCTATAAATAATGGGAAAACTAAGAAAACAAGTGAGCCAAAGATTATATATTTTAGAATGGGCTTTCAAATCTGGTTCCAGAGAAACCCTTGGATTTATTTATTTATCTGAGTCTTTCATTAGTGTCTCGGGAATCTTTGACATGTATACACACACATACACATGCACAAATAAGTTTTTCATTAGAAAGATTTCTGTGGTGACCTATAAAGATAATGTTGCCAGTTAGGATATTTTTGCATTAGAATAAGCAAAATAAAAGTAGAAGGGAAAAGTGAGCTTTTTTTCCAGTTCATTAGTTCTCAAAGTACAGCCAGTTCTCACTATTCATTTTCACTATAAAGTCACTGGAAACACTGAATTAGTGATTACTGAACCACTGTTCTAGGAGAAATACAGGGTTACTGGTATATAAATGAGCCAAAGCTGGCCTTTGTCTATTGGACCCTAGACAGGTTGGTTCTTTACAGGAGACTGGAGCCCATTAGCTTAAATGTTTTATAACTGATACTACTTTACCTATAAGTATAAAAGAAATGTCGTCACCTTGCTGGGTAGGATGAGTACTGGGCACACTTCACTGTTCCTATGTACAGAAGCCCTGCCAGTATTGATTTTGTGGTTATAAATTTTAGCAGGGGGCCCTCCCTGGTGGCACAGCATTGCAAGCTAGCCACAGTCACTTCAGTGCAATTTCGACCCCCAGCCCCAGAGGTGACCCACATGGCACAGCAGACCTCTCCTGTCTTGCCCGCTGCTCCCCTCAGCAGTGTTCTTCAGTCTCCCTGTTCTGCTCCCTGCTCTGTCTCTGGTGAATCCTCTCATGGCCCCTGCATCTCTGACTTGCACCCCAGGTCTGTATACATAAATAAATAAAATCTCTTATAAAAAAAAAAGGTTCTTTCAAAATAAATAAATAAATAAATTTTGACAGATAGACAAATTTGTAAATATATAATCCACAAATAAAGATTAACTGTACCAGTCCAATCTCAAATACTTCCAGATAAGCCTGTCCCTGATTATATTGATATGAAATCTGTCTCATGTTATTTTAAATAGTAGATATTAATTTGACTTTTTAGATGTTTCCACCATAAATATACTGCTATTTAAATTCAGCTGACAATACTTACTTTTACTCCACTTCTTCCCCTCTTGCGTAAAGATTCCCAATTTTTTTTGTTAAACTTTTGGTTGACAAATGAGTGATTTGAAAGAATGAAATGTTCAATTTGATTATTACTAACACATCCCTTCTGTCTCTACTCTCCTGGGTAAAAACCCGTCCTGAACCCACTTTCTCACTTGAATCCACAGTGGTTATTCTTTTTCAGTTACAAATTACTGAAATGCATCTGGGCTTATAGCATCATTGTGGAAAAGTCCTGGATAGGTGGGATAACTTCAAGTATATGGAAAGATTCTTTTTATCTCTTTTTCAGTGTCCCTTTTCCTCCCCATTCCCAATCTCATTTCTACTCCCTAGGTTAGCTTTGTCCCTTCAATAAATTGAGGCAAACAAAAGTAAATGAGTTTATTAAAGAATCATTATTGAGAACTAGACCCTAGAACTGCCTCCAGATAGCCCTGGGAGAGTTGCCCAAATTCTGAGCTTCCCAAGAAAGATTTTATACACTCTGCAAGGAAAACGTTTTTAAGAATTTTTACAGAGAAAATCTGGATAGGTGTCCCATAAACGTATCTTTCTGATGCATTGAGGGGAAAAAATTATCCTCCCTGTGTAGAGCCTTCTGGAATTTGGGAGTTTTAGCAATGCCATAAACCTTAAATTCTTTCTTTGAAGTTACTGCTTTGCCTGGGAGCCAGTTGTAGTTTCCTCACAAGACCAGTCCTGTTGTATCTTTGTCTTTTGGCTCATGTGCCCCTAGTTGATTGTCACCTCCCTGGTGGCAGTTTTGAATGAGGTTGCTCAAAGTCTAAGCGAAGCAATAAGAAGTCTGGCGGGGATACACCAGAAGTAATGTGTTGCTGGTCAAGGCTTATTATCTATTCTAGTTGCTGCCTACTGTTTCAGTATGGTTTGACAGTATGTTCCTCATACCAGGACATATGCTCTTGGTAAGAGGACCCCGCATGACCCCACACCCAGCTGACAAGTAGGAACTCTGAGTACCAAGACAACATCCTCAAGAACATGGGAAAGTAGCAACCCCACAGTTGAGAGGCCAGGGATCGAGGAACACACTTCAATTGTGAGCTTTGGTTAGCTGCTTCATCCTGTAACCATACTCTCAATGTCATGGCCAAGATGACCACTGGGAACTCCATATTTCTATCCTCTTGAGCACTGTACTGCAGTCAGAGTGGAAGTTCTCAACCAGTATCCATCTGTCAGCTTAGAAAATAACTGGTGGGTTTGGGTCTTATGTCTACCCTGAACGCACTGGTAATGCCAGGGGTACGGAACATGATTAGTTGGTGTATGTCATATGTACTCAGAAAAGTGGAAGTACATGATTGATAACCTCTTTAGTGTCGTGGGATTCTTAGGGAAGGGCAGATTCCCAGAGGAAATTGGGATGGTAGGTAACTAAACAACTATCAATTATACACATTAAGACAAGTATTTTTTTCCTGCTATATTCAGGATCAGTAAGGCATCTCTTAAGAACAGACAGCCAGTATGAAGAAATATTGCTGAGCTTTGGACAATATTGGACCAAACTGATTTTGCTTTAAATGTTAATCTATTCTATCTCAGTTGGTGGGTACATAGGGATACGTTATATTCTCTACTCTTTTTATGCTTGTTTAATAAATAAAACACTACAGAGTCACTATTTCAATTGGTGAATAGTAGATACTTGAATCATAATTTCCCTTTAGTACCTCTAAAAATGATTTTGTATCTGACATAGTGACACTGTAACATTCTAAAGTCACTAATTCAGTTTTTTATATGATAAAAAAAATGTGAGTCCTTTCATGTCATATGTTTCCTATTTCTATCATGCTTATGATATAGGTACCTGCAAGGTGTGGCGTTACAGTCCGGGACAGTCTAAAGAAAGCACTGATGATGAGAGGTCTTATTCCAGAGTGCTGTGCTGTTTACAGAATTCAGGATGGGTATGGTTTGTATGTGATGTGAAATTTTGTGTACAGAAAAAATAACTCAGATGTTAAACTTCAGGGTTTTCTATAGGATCTGTAACAAACCTAGAAGATTGAAAGTCAACCTTAGAAAAGATATTAAAATTAATATGAAGTTAGCCTCGAGAAATTTCCTAGACCCTTTGAGGAATTAGCAGTAAATAATATTGTGTAGTAACCATGTTTTAGTCTCATCAAATGACTTTATTTAGAGTTTGAGGTTCTTAAATTTTTCAGCCATTTAGAATGTGACTTATTTGAATAATGGACTCTTCCTCAACTACAGATTTTTAGTACATACTCATAGTTTCACAAAAGGCTTATCAAAATGGATGTCTTATATTGAATTATTTTTCTCTTATGAAATATCTAACAGTGTGCTGAGGCCCTTCAATTTTTATCCCTATTTTTTAAAATCCTTTTTTGGGACATGTTGTCCCTTGAGTACTCTTTCTTTGAATGGATAGATAAGTCCCCACCTGTGAATTTTTTTTTCCGGACCCCAGGAACAATCCATTTTCTGCTGTTGTAGGTCTTTTCTGGAGCTGACTTGAAGAAAAGAGTACATCTCTTTACCCTGCTGTTTGTCCAAGAGTGATACATTTATTTGGGGTAAACTTAAAAATTAATTTATTGCCATTTAAATTTCTAACGACAGAAGAACAGGGAGCCAAATCTCCCTCGATATTACTAGCCCCTCAATAACCAATTTTCATTATCTTCAGCATGAGGTCTACCAAGGTTTTCAGTGTAACCAAGAAAGGCTTTGTCTGCACTTTCAGAGAGAAGAAACCAATTGGCTGGGACACTGATATCTCCTGGCTCACTGGAGAAGAATTACATGTAGAAGTGTTGGAGAATGTTCCACTTACAACACATAACTTTGTATGTACTTTACATTTTCCTTTTGAAGTGTCAAAAATACTCAAGTTCTTATGTATGAGTTTTTATATGGAGGTGAAGTATATTTGAACAATTGTGGGATTGAATTTTTTAACCTAAGTTAAAAAACAGTTCTGTTCTTAAAAACTGGTATTAAAACTAAAGAGTTCATTTTTATCATTGTACTTTTTAGTGTCAAAAAGCAATGCATGTTTATAAAAACAAAATTTGAGTGGTGCAAAACTATATCAAGAAAAAAAGTGAAAATACCTTACTAGAGGTAAACACATTAATTATTATGTAGTCTTCTGACCTCTTTCTACATACCAATGTGTACTTATGCCTGTGAACCCACAGTTTTCTTTTTCTTCCTCCCATCTCTTCCTTCATTACTTTGCATTTCTTAAACTTAAAATGGAACCATGTGATTTTCTTCACCTCTTGCTTCTCAAAGGAAAAAATATCAAGGCTAAGACTGGATGGAAAGGGAGTAGCAGAGGAAAAGTGAGTGGGAGAATACTCTGGACAGACAAAATAGCAGAAAAGCTTGTTATCCATTCAGAATGACTTGTACAGAGGTAGAGATGGGTTGTAATAATGTAGGAAAAGTCATAGGGTGAGGTAAGCTAAGGCTAACTCCTGCGAGTCCTTGTAAATCTTACTGGTGATTTGGACTTTTCTCTGAAATGATTGGTAATTGGCTGGTAAGCAGGGGAGATGTGTGAGTAACCATATGGAAAGGTAGTAAAATTCTGGGTTCAGCTTAGAGAATGAGTCCTCCTTTGCTTTTCTGCTACTTTTTTTTTTTTTTTTTTTGCTACACAAAAAAATGTTGCTTATGCTTCTTGGTTTCATCATGTATCATAAAACCAATTCCTGCCTACATCCCATGCGTTTGCTTTCCATATCTAGATACACTCAATGCGAGATTATTTGTAAATTGAGGATAATGAGAATCTAGGATTAAGAGAGCTGCATTCCTTTGCCCACCTCTGTTGACAAAGATCTACATACTCACAGAGACAAGTACATATCCCTTATAGTTTTACTCAAATGTTTACCCACAGATTTTCTACTCTCTTCCCTGTTTCCCTTTCCACTCCTCCCCTTCTTCTTTGTCTCTCTTGCTCGTTCGCATTTCTCCTTTACATACACACCCAGCCAGTTATATGCAGTTTTCAAATATAAGTTGGTGTCAGGAAGAAAGACTGTAATTAAGTAAATTAATGAAGTGAGATCAATTAGGGGCTTTATGAAAATCCACAAAAAACCAAGCAAGTGAATATATGACTGGTTAGCAGGGTGGATCAGATGACTCCAAAATGCTGGCCAATGAAAATGTTTTTAATTTTCTGTGCTCTATTTCCTGAGATTTTGCTGGCAATATAAAAATGCTTGCTCTGTTTAATAGTGGCTATATGAATATTAAAGATCTTCTAGCTTCTTGTATATGCAAAGACAAAAGAAGGAACAAAGCTTAAAAACAAGCAGTTGCCTTTTTACATTCCTAGAAAGTGATACATAGAAAAATATATGATCCATTTTTTAAACTGTATAAATGGGCCCCTCCCTGGTGGTACAGTGGGTTAAAGCACAGCACTGCAAAACTGGCCACAGCTGCTTCAGTGGGAGTTTAATCCCCGGCCAGCAGGGTGACCCACATGGCAGGGCAGACTTCTCCTGTCTTGCCTGCTGCTCCTCTCAGCAGTGTACTTTGTCTGTCTGCCTGTTCTCCCCACTCTGCCTCTGGTGAATCCTCTCACCTTCTCTACACCTCTGGCCTGTACTCCAGTTCTGTATGCATAAATAAGTAAATCTTAAAAAAAATAAAAATATATAAATATTCTCAAAATGTCAGAATGGATGTTTTGCCAGGATATCACTCTTTTTCTGCAACACTATTCAAAGTAACTTTGTATCCAATTGACTATGAGTTTATTGAACATACTTTGTAAACTATGGATATTGAAATCAATTTAACGGATTAGGAGAAGCATTTACATAAACTGGAACAGCAGGATAAGCATTGTTATAGGAATAGAGCTGTGTCCTGGGTCATAATATAAGAGTACATAGTGCAGAATAAAGGACAAAATAGAAGTCACCCATTGTTAATATTGTGGCATGTCTTTATCCTATTTCTATTTTCTGCTTATATCCACAAACACACTACTTTTTTGTTGTTTCTTTTAATTTTGTTTCTATTTTTTCTTTCTAAAACAAATACTTGTAACCACTTTCAGCAGTAATGTTTACATTAGAGCCTCCCTGGCACAGTTCTGTTTATAGAGCCCAGGTTGTATGTCTTCGTCCTCCTGACGTGGGGTGCTCAGATCTGGCCCTTCGCATTTCACCTCAGAGACTGCTTGCAAAGTATATCGAGGTGTTCTAATCCTCCAACAAACTGATGATTTGTTCTAGTGTCTTCTAGATGATTTTCCTTTCCTTTACCCTGGTTAGTTTAAGTATGCTTGTTCTGAATTTCATACAATACAAACTAGTTTTTTGGTTTTTGTTTTAATAAAAGTCGTATATACACACTAACATTACTAAAATAGTACAGAGGGGCTTAAAATGAAAAGTAATATGTTACCCATTCCCTTGCTAGCATCTAATGCCACTCTGTGGAGGAAATCCTTCCTACTAATGGTTTCTGTTTAAGCTTTTTTGGGATTATTTTCATATTACTGAATAATAACTTTCAGCCACAATTTCTTGCTTTGTCAGCTTTAGATATCATCTCCTGGTTACTGATTCCATGAGGCATTAGCTCATTTATAACACTGCAGCATTTCCTCTACTCCTTCCCTTCCTCCAGTGTGGTTTTTATTTTTGTTTTGGGGGATTTTTTGGTTCCTCTATTGGATATCATTGTAACTCTAATTACTATGCTTTCTTTTTCTGTCTCAGTACTGGTGAGCATCTGTGAACTTCTTTCTTCATACAGTTAAAACCTACCCTTAACCTCCTTCTACCTTCTTCCATTTGCCTGTCGTCTGTACTTTTAGTTTCCACTAGTCAAGCTTGAAATTGGCTTCCAGTCTTTTATCCATTTCCCATTTTCTTGACTTCTGAATTTTTTAATTGGGTATTGGGTAAGAGATAAATATGTGTAGTCCATCTGTTATTTTGAACCTGCTGGGTTTCATTTTATTATGTTAGAGTGTAAGGTAGTGCTAATGACATGAAAATGTTAAAGGTGTTATTTTAAATAAGAGAATAAATCATTTGATTTTTAAAAAAGTTTCTTGGCAAGTTCTTAAAATCCTCTGATGTTTTACTTTGCAGGTACGGAAAACTTTTTTCACCTTAGCATTTTGTGACTTTTGTCGAAAGCTGCTTTTCCAGGGATTCCGCTGTCAAACATGCGGTTATAAATTTCACCAGCGTTGTAGTACAGAGGTTCCACTGATGTGTGTTAATTATGATCAACTTGAGTAAGTAATCAAAATAAATCTCTTTCCTATATATCACTTTACATTTAAATGTTCTTAATGTGAAATCAGTATTTCCTAGAGTATGTGGGAATTTTCTGTCTAGTATGGTTGTTAAAGGGAATTTTTTGAACAATGAAACTGGTAAGATATAGTATAGCTAGCACTTTTCTTAAAGTTCCCTTGCCCATAGAAATTACTTTTAGATAGTTTGGGGGAAGAAAACAGATATTTAAGTTAAGTTAAGCATGTATTTGGAACACAGTCGGGGGGGGGGTCTGATTCTGCCACCTATTTTGTAAATCAAGTTTATATTTTCTCTCTCAATTCCCCCTAATCCTTTCCTCCATTTATTTAAAAGTAAGATATAAAGTCTATATACCCTAAAATTTGTATTTGCTTTATTACCAGAGTTTCCTAATGGATTAAACTATTTAAGTCTGTGCTGTTGCTACTACTGTTAAGATCTTATTTTTTTAATCAATTGAGCAAATAGAATTCAATTCTGTACTTTATAGTATAATGATATAATCTAACTTAGCAATAGATAGCTTTCCTTCTAATTCCTTAACCTTTATAAAGCATGATTTTTCTCTCTTAATATGTAGAAATTTGCTGTATAATAGTTTTATCTTCTAAAATTGCTTTTGAAAGTACAACTTTTTAAAACTAAGTCTTTAGACAAAAAATACTACCACAAGTTGCATTTAGCCATCATTTCTAAAAACGAAAATTTATCTCATATTTCTGTTAACTTGATAATATATTCTGGCGTGTGAAGCTTCTGGGTTTTGCACAAGTTAGGTTTTTTTTGTTTTGTTTTTGTTTTTGCCTCACAGTTTGCTGTTTGTCTCCAAGTTCTTTGAACATCACCCAATACCACAGGAGGAGACCTCCTTACCAGAGACCGCCCTTACATCTGGATCTTCCCCTTCTGCACCCCCCTCTGATTCTATTGGGTATGATTTGACCCCTGCTGTTCGGTGACATGAGCTAGTTTCTTTTGGATCTTTTGGTTAACCATAAACCTTTCTAACATTTGGGTTGTTGTTTTAAGGACTTTTTCCCAGATAACATAATTTACCACACAGTCAAATATTTACATGCTTTTGGTATAGATACATGGGATTAAAGCTGAAATAGGCTCTTTTAAGACCAGTTTTGAAAAAATTGAGCAATAGATGATTTAGCATCCCTGCCTTGTGTTCACATCCGCCATCACTAGATTAGGTATCAGATGCACATCAGAGGTTTTTGACTTCCATTTAGAAAAATAGCATTAACATATGAGACAGTGGCAAACAGTGTAAAAGCAGTATGAAACTACAATCTACAATGTGTGGCATAACATTTTGAACTATGTAGATGTAATAAGAATTTAAGTATTACCATGTTTATAGTAGGAATGAGAATAGTGAGAAAGTACTCAAGAAATTTCATTTAGAAAATTGAACTGGGCCTTAAGGAAGTCTAAAATCTAAACCTAGAAAATAAAAGCCTGGTGATAGAGGGGTAAGGGAAGAAAAAGCAAGGTGTGGTGGGGATGGTAAATTAGAGAGAGTAAAGAAAGGGTAATCTAAATTAAGATGTACCAGATTATGGAGAATCTTGGCATGATTTGATACAAAATGGGGAAAAGATTTGAAGGTTTTCGAGGAGAGATCTAACCTAATGAAAATGATTTTAAATAAAATATCACTTGACAGTGGTACACAGATATATTGACAGAAATGTCTAGGGTGAAGAAGTCAAATTAGGATGTTGTCGGGAGTGAGGAAAGTGAAAGGCAGTGAATACTGGACAGTGTATAAAGTGTATAAGAAAAAAATTAATAGCACTATTAATCAGTCGTGGAGGTTAAAGGAGAGAATTGACTTTAAAGATGACACAAACATATCATATATTCATACTTCATAGTAGAAAAAAGAAAGATATGATGAGTTTTATAGACACTGTTTTGCTTTGGCGTATTTCTTATAAAGGTCTACTTTTCCTAATGGATTTGGTGCAGAATAAATTACCTTGTTTATCTAGAAGCATATGGTTTTGAAAAGTCCCCATACCACATTTCCTTTTAGAATATTTCAGAGCTAATTATTATACAAGAATAAGGCAATCATATATAATTATTATAGGTAAGATCAGAAATATTTATTGTCACTTGTAACCCTACTTCTTCCACTCTTCACAATATAATGCTGCTGCTTCTATCTCAAGAGAGAAAAATATATAAGCTGAAAGTTCCAAAAAGCCTGTAATTTTTATGAAACCAAACTACCTAGAGATATCATAAGCTAAAAATTTTAGCAAAAGACTTACATTAAAGAATGGCTGTATGTATGGAACACTAGAAAATGCAGCCACTATGTTCTCTTGTCATGTTACAACTATCTACTCCAGTGTAATCATTTTATTCCTGTTCTCTGTCCTCAGTTTTATGTAGCTGTGTGTCTTAGTAGATCAAATCAAGATGTTACTGTTTTGATTTTTTAATTAATCCGTTGGTTATGATATTTACTCCTGACAGATCCTGTGGACCATGATACCTTTCTAAAACTTCAGGTCCTAGATCTGTGAGCAGAATTAACAGACACCATAAGGAAATTAACTTTTCCTCTGTGAGGGCTTATAATGGCAATGGCCCAGGAAATTTGCCTTCCAGTGAAAGACTACTATCTTAAAATGATGAAACCATTTGCCTGTACTATTGAATATTCTATTTACAACTAAACTGACACACTTGCTGACCTTAAACAAATGATAAGATGTTCAAACTTTTGTTTTCCTAATTCTTTTAGGTCACAAATGTATATGGGTGCCTGAGAAAATGGAATGCCAGTACTGTCCTATATCCAGATTCCTTTGCATGTTATTAATAGTTCTAATAACTTTGATAGTCATGAAACACATAAAACAGTGGATATAGTCAAGACTTACTGGAGAAGTGATAACACTGCCTACTTTTAAACAAAAAATTAGATACCTCTCTTTCTCCTTTAAAAAATGTATGCACAGTGGTTCTCCTCCGTGGCACAAGAGATTAAATCTTAGCACTAGGAAGCAATTCATACCCCCTGGAGCATGAGTTTGATCCCCCCGGTTGCTGATCCACATGATGCAGCACACCTCTCCTGTGTCGCCCACTCCTCCCCTCAGCAGCATATCCAACCTATTTTGCTCCCCATTGTCTCTGGTGAATCCTCTGACCCTGTACCTCTGGCCTACACTCTAGCTTTTGTGTATGCATAGGTAGATAGATAGATGGATAGACAGACAGACAGATTTACATATCTCAAGTACTCACTGCTTCAAATTGTTTTCTATTCTAGATTAAAAATGAGATGTAAATTAACCAATAATTTGCTAAAGGTTGTTAGAGAAAAGCCTTTTTATTTTTAATTTGGTTCTGCTTTAAAGAGTTTTGCACAAGACCAGTACAGGTATTATCAGGAGAAAGGCAGTTTGTTAACCTCTGCATGCTTCAAATACTATCAGTTGCCTAGCTTAGGTAAAGACTACCCAGTCTGAAAATCAATTTTATCAATTCATTCCCAGATGTGGTGAGTTAGATTTTCATTAACCAGACTCAGAAAAGGCTAAATCCAAATGGTAGGTAGTTACTTGCAATGGGAAATCTGCCTGTTGTATAGCTCAAACAATCAAAGAGCCAACACCAACTCCACTTTCAGAAAATATTTGTGAGAAATCCAATTATAATCCAAACACTGTTTTTGTTGAGCGGAATCGGGATATGGTTCAGATGTGTAGTGACATCGGAGATAATAGCTTGAAGTGTTTTCCAAATTTACATAACACTTGTGCTCGAGGCTGGGAACCTTGACTTTGTGAACCAGTGCACACCTCTCCCTGACTGGTAATGGATACTATTTAGTCTTTCTTATTTTGTATAATAAACAGATATTGTTTATTGCCTCTTGTCTAATAGGTAATAAGAGTATAGCAATTCTATTTGGACATGATAATAAAATTTATCAGATTAAATCCAGGGTTTTGTTTTTCCTATTTCTCGACTCACATCCATTGCATACAAGTTTCAGATTCCGTATGCACTACATGTTGTTGTCAGGGTCTTAACTCAGTAAGTTTTAAGAATAACTTGCAATGCCTGGTACCTTCAACAGGTAATTATATTCATTAGACTATCCTACACAAATGTAATTCAGGCGCTTTCAAAATCAAAGCCTAAAATATGCTATTGCCTTGAGACTTTAAATCAGTCTGTTAAACAGTTTTCAAAAGTCAGTATACTTTCCAAAATTTCTAAAAAGACTAATATTCTCATTTTGGCATTCTGTCTTCTGCTCTCAAAATGCTTTAAGCAAAGGATATTATTTGGCTGATTAAGCAAAAATAATAACTTAGTCACAAACTAAAGATTTCTTAATCAGAAAGAATAAAAAGGAATAGTGGATCCTGGTAATTTTTCTAGAGTACAGTTTCCTCAGTCTTATCTGTAACTCTTATTGGAGTCATATCCATATTTTCAAAGGACATAATATTTGATTTCAGTAACAATTAATATGAACAGATAGAGTAAAAGAATTTTCCCTGCCCTTAATAGTGTGCTTCAGAGAAAAGAAATTGTAACCTACTATGGTTCCGATACTATTAACATATTTTATTCAGAAGCTTTCTGTCATGATTTGACTTCTTGGACTCTTCAAGCCTTTATTCATTCCTTTTCCTACTATATTTCTCTTTCTTCCTAAACCCTCACCCTTCAAAAAAAAAAAATGCCTTTTTGCTCCTTCTTTGTCTTTTCTGGCTATGTCTAAATAACCACTAAAAATGCTGTTAGTTACAGGGTTTGCATAAGATGGGGTGAAATGATAACCAGTTTCTGAAGATGGGCTTTTAGCACTGAGTCATTCCTTGGTGCTGATGAAGCTCACTGAAACAGCCACATTCCATCTGCCAAGTGATACTCACACCAGCAACCTTGGATGTTCTTCTGAGGGCTGTAGACTCCTTTCAGGTGTTAACAATCTATTTTCAAAACATTAATGTGCTCTGTCAGGATCTTTTGGGGTGCAGTCAGGAATCATAGACTTTATCATTTATCTACAGTACTATTTTGATGGCTTCATCACAAAGCCATTTTAAAATTTATTTTAATGCTTATTATATAATTCTCCTTATATCAGTCAATGAGCATGATAAATTTTCAAAATAGGAAGTATGACACTATGTAAGTCTTTTGAATTTTAAGAATAATCTTTTTGTTGGATTTTAATGCAACTCATATTCAGTCAGGTTCTACCTAGAGAATTTTTTTTGTAACTTTAAGATGAAGCAAATTTCTTCAGCCTATTATGCACAGCTAATTTCTATGTACTTGTTAATTACCCTGGAATTTTTCCGGGGGGGGGGGGATGTTCATATTAGTACTCCCTGGAAGGGTCTTTGTGTGCAAAAGCAACTTTGTCAATGTTAGCTATAGGTATATATTAGTTTTTTAAACCAACACTTTAAAAAGACATTGCTGCTATTTTATACTTAATTTACTTTGAAATTTTTGAGACTATAAAACCAAGGATATCTCTATAAATTTGCTCTGAATCTTATCTTCCAATGACTTGCTTTTTCCAGGCCCCAAATTCTCACCAGTCCGTCTCCTTCAAAATCCATTCCAATTCCACAGCCTTTTCGACCAGCTGATGAAGATCATCGAAATCAATTTGGACAAAGAGACCGGTCCTCGTCAGCTCCAAATGTACATATAAACACAATAGAACCTGTCAATATTGATGTGAGTATTCAGTGCTTTTAGAACTAAGAAAATTTCAAGTGTATTTCTTTATTTTTCTGCTATCATACACAGATCAGAAATAAGCGCCATCTTTCATTTATCACAGTTACAAGTGATAGACTTTCCAAGAATTACACATTAAAAAAGCTTTGTCATCTTTGATGGTGTTTAATACTTGTGCCAAACTTTTTAGTTATTCTGATACTTTTCCTTATGACACCATCTCTGTAAAAATCTTTCATTTACTTATGGCAAGGACAAAAGAATGTAATTGCAGATTTCCCATTTAGATCATTTCAAGACCTTTACCTACATTTTTAAAAGTACAACTTTGAATTACCTTTTAGCTTTTTCACTTTCCTGAATATGCTGTTATATCCCATCACTGTACACATCTTGAATTTTGGCATGGAATTATGTCCTTTTTACATAAAGTTTACATCCTTAAGTATTTTTTGTCATTGAGGTCTAACTTTTTTTTTTTAATGCCTCTTGGTCTCATCATATGTTATAATCTCATTTATTCAGTTTTTCTCATAATATATGTAGAATCTGCAAACTTTTCCTTCAAGAGCTGCATTATAAATATTTTAGACTTGTAGGTCATGATCCCAAATAACAGCTTTTGAACTCTGCCATTGTAAAATGAAAGCAGCTATAGATAATACAGCTATAGATAATAGACTACAAGCAAATGGTCTGATTGTGTCCAATAAAATTTATCTACAAAAAAATTTATTTGCCAGCACATCGCATTTTTCTAGTTCCTAATGTAAACAAGAGATCAGAAAGAATGAGATACATGGGGTCTTTCCAAAAGGACTAAGTCGTTGTTGTGAGTCATCACAACAGTTGAGTTACGGAAGAGGATAAGGTGCTCTTGCTCTCCAAACTGCAGTGGGTTGGGGATCCTGATCTTGGAGCGAGGTATCAGTTGTCACAGAATTTGTGCATTAGCATAAAGACAGCAGTTATCCTTAATATTGGTCTGTAGTAAGCCACAAATTAAGATAATCTACCAGTTTTGTTGTTTAAGAAAGTAATTATATTTGTAAGGGAAGTCAAAACTTTCCCTGTATAAAGAAGGTAGTTTAGTTTAATAAGGGTGTGTGTGCGATGGAGGATGAGGTGGTTCTCAGTGTACAAGAACTCTCCACGTGAGTCCTTGTAGTTACATAGGTAGGAAACCAAAATTGTCTTAATAGGGAAATGTTCAGTAATTAAAAGACCACTTTCTATTAGACCCACTCAAACATTCCTCCCTGTTTAATACCAGTCACACCAGTTACAAGAATATTCAATGATTCAGTGAAATTGTAATGCAGATAGATTGCAAATGTGACAAAAATATAAGAGATTTTAAGGATTTTAAAATAAACACAGAAAGGCCCTCCCTGGTGGCACAGCAAGTTAAAGCACAGCACTGCAAAGCTACCTGCGGCCATTTCATCTTTATATAGCTTTACATAAAGCTATTCAGAAAAAGGATACACCAGAATTAAATCATTAAATAGAAGAGAAAATCCATAAAGATGAGAATTTAATAGAGTATGCTGGGCCCTCCCTGGAGGCACAAGGGGATAAGGCACAGCACTATAAAGCTCTATTTTTAGCCATTGCAGCATGAGTTCTATTCCCAGCCAGGGAGCTGACCCACATGGTGCATCAGACCTCTCCTGTCTCCCCACAGCTCCCCTCAACAGTCTGTTTCAGTCAATCAGCATGTTCTGCTCCTCATTCTGTCTCTGGTAAATCCTCTCACTCCTCACATCTCTAGCCTGCACCCCAGTTCTTGTATGCATAAATAAATAATCTTTTTAATAATAGAGTACACATTTGGGGGGGGGAAAAAGGTTATTAGAGGTTCTTGAGAGTTAATGAAATGCCCTGAAATTTCTTTTTAAAGATTTATTTTTTATTTATGCACTCAGAACTGGGGTACAGGCCAGAGGTACAGGGGCGGTGAGAGGATTCACCAAAGACAGAGTAGGGACAGAAAAGGCCGACTGACAGAGTACACTGCTGAGGGGAGCAGTGGGCAAGACAGGTGGGTCATCTCCCTGACTGGGGATTGAACTCAAGATGAACTGGCTACGGACAGCTTTGCAGTGCTGTGCTTTAACCTGTTGCGCCACCAGGGAGGGCCTGCTGTAAAATTTTTATTAAAATGCTTATAAAATCAAGTATTTCATTTTGTGTGTTGGTATATGATCAACAAAACTTGACTCTGTGTTTATTTTAAGATGTGGCAAATTACTGACATTATCACTCAAGTTATAATTGTTAAATGTAAAAAAAAAACAATTTTTATTCTCAAAATAAATTCCAATATCAAATTTTATTCCAGCTTTTTACTGTGAAACTTCTTGCTCTTGGGTTCATTTGAAGTAAGTTTTTTCCTAAAACCAGTTTCCTCCCCTAATAAAAGTCCTCCTCTAGCTAGCTAGACCTGCTGAATACAAAGGAGAAAAGAAGTAGAAGTTAATATGGCAGTAAGAAATCAAACCATATTTCTAAATTAGGTTCTGTATGTTCAAAATTGTAACCTTCATCTTTACTTTCAAAACTAACATTCTTTTAGACCATTTCCTTTTATCTCTGTTGTTCTCCTATTCTCTTAGGCTTGAACATTTGGAATGTCACCTTATCATCTTGCTTTTTCATCCTTCCCTGTAACCAAATAGTCATAAGGTATCACCTTTTCCTTTTGATGTGCATCTCATGTTTGTTCTTAACATCATTTGAGGCCTGTGTATCTTCATTTGAACTACTTACTCCATTAATCTCTTACATGGATTTCCTGCCATTGGTTCCTCACTATCCATTTCCATTCTTTGTGCTGCTGTGAAAATAATTTTTTTGTTCTGTTTTTCTGTCAATATCTGTTCCCTGTTCTAAAACTTTTTGTGACTGAATTCTAAAATAAAATATCATCCCATTAGCAGTTTCATTCCATTTCAATCATTTAATTCTGTTCCAATCATTATTTGTCACTTCAGTAAACAAGACTTTAATATTGACTCCGGGGTAAGGACTATGTCAGGCAGTTGGAAATTCAGGCTAAATTAATATGTGATCGTTACCCACAAGGAAGTCAAGTCTAAGAGATGAATCAGACATACAAATAATCACAAAATATATATAATAATAATTTACAGAAGATGGTGATGAATCTAGAAATATTTAACAGAAAAGGGGTAATATTTAAGCTGTGAAAGGACAGTGAGTGGCAGTTTATGAAATACGCTAGGTGAAGTTTAAGGAAAGAAGGACATTTGTAAAGGAAATACTATTTGCAAAGATAGGGGAAATGTCTTTACATTGTAATTAATATTTGACTTGTGCGAGTTCAGGAGAGAGGGGAATGATCAGAGGCAAAGCTAAGTAGGAAAGGTCCACATCAGAGGTGGTGTATATTACACTAAGGTCTCTAGGGTAGTAAGGAGTCTAGAAACTTCAAGAGGAAGAGAAAATGACCTGTTTTTACAAAAACCTTTTGAGTTAGTGAAAGATTTGGTACCTAACATAGTTAGAAATAATATTTGAAAACTGCTGGTAGCTTTAAATGCTTACTCTGAGCCAGGTACTATACTGTGTTTCACATAAATTTTCTTACTCATCCTCATAAACACTAGTGGGTTAAGTACTATTACTATCCTTACTTTACTATTATGAAAATTAGATTTAGAGAGATTAAGAAACTGGCCTAAGTTTATCATATAGTGGATAAATGACTGAAATGAGGTAAAACTTGACCTTTCTTTCTTAGCTTCTTAATCACTTCTCTGTGTGGTAGTGAAGGAGAGAAGTAATAGAAATGAGAGATAAGAGGGTCATGCCTGGACTTCTGGCTTGGGTGACAGAGAGTATTCATTCCACTCATTGCGTATTTGTTGACTCTTCTGTGGAAAATGTTGATGGTTTTATCTAATACATTGAACATGATAGAAGTCCATTTGTAAAGAATTTACTCTTTGTGTTAGCCTATTAACAATGCAGCCTGTTTTCCAAGTATTTAGTATTTGGGGCCCTTTAGTCCTTCATACTTTTATACTGGGTAAACAAGTTTAATTCCGGCTTTTCGGGTTTTATTTGCTTTAATTGTCAGTAGACTCTTTCCCTTCCTCCAGCAGTTTTGTCTTTTGCAAAAAGATGTACATTTTAATGATAAAGACAGATTTTAAACAAAGCCCTATTTGAACTATTCTGATTTTTGCCTTCTATGTTCTTATAAATCCACATTTTTATGATTTTATCAGTGTACATTTAATGTTATTCTGTTTATGTATTGTAAATATGTTCCATGATGTAAATTTCTTAATTGTCTTAGTAGCTCCATAATATTTATTGACACCATCATTTACTTCACTGCTATGTCAGTATGCCTATAATGGGGAAATAATTATTTCTAATGTTTTAGTATAATGACTAATGCTGTACTGAACATTTTTGTGCATATTACTTTTTCCTATGAATTATCTCCTTAGAAATTCTTGAAGTGGATTTACAAGATCAAAGGGTATGAACATGTTATGGCTTTTAATATATGCCAGTAGAATTTTTTTTTTTTAAGAATTGATGCAACTGTTGGTTTTGAATGACCTGAAATAATAGATTTCAGTATTGATCAGAAATAATCCTTCAATATAAGATTAGGCTGGTGAGTGCATCAAAATCTTAATTTTATCATGTTCATTATTAATTCCATATTCTTTCTAATTTGTGAAGTAATTATAAGGTATTATTTTAAATTAATCTCTAATGTAAGTGGAAAATCAATGTTATTATTTCTTTATCATATGCTCTGAATAAATATACATTACTATTTATTTGTAGGACTTGATTAGAGATCAAGGGTTTCGTAGTGACGGAGGTAAGTAGTGATTTCAATTAAAATTAGAAAACAACTCAGGAAAAATGCAATTGCTTTGCTGCTTGTCTCCTCTATATTTGCTTTTCTCATGAAGCACAGACACAGAGAAAAATGTGTAGAGAAAACCCAAAATTTATTGTATGAGTAGAGAAGAAGAAAGGACATAAAAAAGGAATCTTAGAATGTACTATTTACAATATTGAAATGTTATCAGTGTGGGAACTTAATTATTTTACCCACTTTATTAATTTCTAACGATCTACAAAACTGGAGCTGCTAAATTTCCTTTGGGATCCTCCTCTAATACTTAAAGATTCAGCTTATATTCAGTTAAAACTTTACTTTCCTAAATTATTCTTGGGGAAAATCTTTTGGATTGCCTGGCACAACTTTTCAGTGTGTCAGCATTTCCAAACACTTTATTTCAGTCTTCTAAAAATGTTTCAGATGTACCTTTTATAGACTGCACCCCCAATGGAAAGGCCCAGTTGCCCATTTATTATGTGAATTTAAGTAAGTAAGTGAGACACTGAATGGAAATTCTTACAGAATTTTCATTTGTTACTCTAACCCAGTGAAAATTGAGGGCATAAGAAAACATTACATAAGAAAACACTTTTAAAATGAAAATTTACCTCCATATGTTTTCCAAGAGATGGTATTTAAAACGATCTGGAAGTTTTCTTCCAGGTGGTCCTCTGTGCTTTATCTAATACGGAAGACCTCCAATACCCGCTTCTCTTGGTTAGAGTTGGTCTCTTCATCGTGACTTAGATCTTCAAAATACCTAAGCCCAGACTCAAAGATTTTTTATACTGAATAAACGTTGGATAAACTGTTTTTGTTATGTTTCTATGTATTTGAGAGAAACCACCAAAATATTGACAGCCCTGAATTAATGTGCTCTGGACATAGTATTTATACAGCACATAGCTTTCTAAAGGGTTTTTTTTTTTTCTGTTTGTTATTCCATGAGCCCGCCAATTAATGTTGCTGCAAGTTTGACTTTCATATGTCTTAATAGCTGTGGCTTTTGGTAATTTTGCCTGATACATCCAGCATTTAAATGTTGCCATCATGTTAGCATCACAGAGTTATCGTAGCTATAAAAACGGCCTGCTTAGTACCAAAAATCAAGTGGCATTCCTTGTCCTTTTTGAGTCACTTTTGAAAAATTATTGGGATTTTATGAAAATAGCACATTTTTTTTAATATCCAGAATTATTTTGCGAAGCAGGCTTCTGCTCATCTTACTTATTCCCCATGACTTCTTTCATTTCTTCTGTGTGTCTGTCTTCCTGTGTTTGCCTGCCCTCTCTTTCTCTTCTAACAGCCCCTTTGAACCAGCTGATGCGCTGTCTTCGGAAATACCAATCCCGGACTCCCAGTCCCCTCCTACATTCTGTCCCCAGTGAAATAGTGTTTGATTTTGAGCCTGGCCCAGTGTTCAGAGGTAGTTGGGCTCTTCTTTCTTGTTTTCACCCAAAACAAACTAAATATAAACTACAGATACTGTTTGTGCCTCACCCCTCACAGTGTGTGTTTGTAAGTGTGAAAGTTTTCAATACTAAATTTCTGCTTGGCCTGGCTGGAATGCTCTGAATGTGCTTCTCACACATACTCACGACCACGAGCTTTCTGTATGCTGTCTGTCTTAAATTTTTATAAGCAAGAAAATTCTGGGCTAAGATGTCCATCTTGTGTTTTGTTATATTACTTTTTGATCTTGATAATTTCTTAAACTCAGTGGGTAGCAGTAAATAATGTGGGGGGAGAGGGGTGGCTCTTCACCTGAATTCTTTTTATATTAATTCATTTAAGTGATCACTAAAGGTGACTACTAGTAATATCAGTTTTTGAGAGAATTAAAAAGGAAGCAGAAATCCCTTTTATGACATTTTGCTGGACTTTTGGCCTTATTTTTTTTATAGAATTGTATTTTTGTTAAAATAGGTATGTGTACTGACATCAAAGGTAGGGCATTTTTTAAAAGATGTGTAATATATTTGGTATTGTAGCATTCTTGAGGAAATTTGAGGGTTTGTGCTTCCAAGTATGCCCTAACATGAGGTAAAAGTCAGCAGTGTGACTTCACATTCTCATTCCATCTTGCCATATTTAAATGAGTGCTTAAACTGATTTTTAAAAATTTAAGTCAAATGTCTAGCTGTAAATATTTTTGCAGTTTTATTGCTCTTGCTCATTACTGTTATTTATTCAAAATGTAATAGAGCTTCAGGTTTTTGCTTTCTTAGATCAACTTACCAGAAAATTCATAGAATGGACTAGAAGTCAGACAGTACTGAATAAATAGTGCACAACGGAGCTGCATACATCAGAACTACAAAATGAGAGCAAGCCCTTAAGTCTTTATGATGCTGGGACTTATCAGTGGAAGAGAGAAAATGGACTGTGCTCTATTTAGTGGACATTCCAGATACTGTTTTCTTTAGAAACTTCAATATGACACTGTGCACATTCCACTAATATCATCTACTACATAGTAATAATAAAATTCCTACAGATTTGACACTGAAATGTTGTCATTGGTATCTATTCTAGGAAAGATAATGACTTTTCTTCCCCTAAGAATAGTAATCCCTTTTTTTAATCTTCAAATCTTTTCATTCTGTCTGTGCAAATACTACTGAACTGGCAGTGCTACTCAGGGCCACCGAGGAGCCATTGCCCTGAGCCCTCAGGATGAGGTCCTAGCATACATGAATTTAGATTTTGGCCGCTGAGTCAGTATGCGGAAAGTTTCCCATCAGTGAGGCCTGCAGCTCTGCCAGGTGAGGCCACTTGCAGAGTGAACCCCGGGCCTCACACTTGGCTACCTGAGTGTCTCCCTCTGTAGTGACTTCAGAGGTCATGGCACGTACTTTAATCTATAAAGGCAGAGATTTCTCAGAAGTCTTATTTGGCTTTGTTTAAATTAACTTTGTTGTGTAGGTAACACAATCTTTGTTAGAAGAATAAGCCTTTTGGAGCCAGTAATACTTGTTACTTGCCCAGTACTTGTTACTCTTAAATACTGTGGCATATACTGATAGTGTAAGACTCTTAATAATTTTAGTGGCTACTATGACAAAGCCAGATATTTTCAATATAAAGGCCATCATTAGGGGGTTTCCCCATTAGGGGGTTTCCATCTTTCTTTATAGTGGTTAAGATAACAGAGTAGCCCATTTTACTTATTAGACTTTTAAAATATTTTGCTTTCTTATTAGTCAAAGAAACAGGAACTTGGAAGTATTTAAAAATACCTTATTTTAGAGAGATTGTTGATTTTTTTTCTAGACTATAAAAATGTGTCTGTAATCAGATATTTTAATGGTCACTAAGTTAGTGAAAACTTAAAGAAATTACAGTATTCATCACCAGATAAGCCCCTTTGGGTCTGTCCTTTTCAGGGTGTCTGTGCTTGACCAGGCGCTGCGTTTTTTTAATTCCCTCCCTACCCTCTGCCCCAACAAATTAATGTACTTGATCTCCTGTAATGGATGCATTTTTCTTTTACTGACTTAGGATCGACCACAGGTTTGTCTGCCACCCCCCCTGCCTCCTTACCTGGCTCGCTTACCAATGTGAAAGCATTACAGAAGTCTCCAGGACCTCAGCGGGAAAGAAAATCATCTTCATCCTCAGAAGATAGGAATCGAATGGTGAGAATAAATTTCTATTTTTCTTATAAGCCATTTTTTTAATAGAAGTCACAGCCAAAGATAATGTCACTTTTTAGACATATTGATAAATCCACATGTGACACACAATTCACAAAATCAAATTAAAGACAATAATTTTTTTGTTTTAATCATATAGTCCCATGGGACTGATTTTTGCCTTCAAGTCTAACACAATTAGCTAAAGGCAGAATAATCTGCTTTTTATAAATAAGGAAGGCGAGTAAGCAAGTATTTTAGAAGCATGCTTGAAAACCTGGTCTGCCAATTAGTTGTCTTGCCTATTTGTAAAACTAACTTTCTGAGCTAATAATTTTAGCAGTGGGGTTTGCTGGTTGGGTGGTCTTATTTATTTACTTTGAGAGACAGGTGAGACATATGAAGAAATTTAGCACTGGCTGGGAGTAATAGATAAATTATCAGCAGTTACCATAATACAGTAACTTAAAATTTTCACCTTTCTGATGGGAAGCTCACAGGGATTATAACTGAGATGGAAAAAATGCACAAAATGATGTAAAAATAAACTATTGTATTACTTAAGAAAAATTTTTTTTACCTTTCAAGGCAAAAATCATCACAAATGTGCAATACTCATCTTGCCCCTGACTGTCCTCCAAGTGATAGACCCTTTTCAATTGATTTTAGTAATAAACGTGTCTTCATACTCAGTAAGTTTTAGTTGTTAATAAATTGTTTCCATCTTAATACTGACTTAGCGCTGAAGTTTAAGCTCCGTATTATAAGAATCATATTTCCGTTAGTCCTCCAGAATGGTGATTTGTTGTTTCAGTGGATCTTATTCTTTCCCTCACTTAATATCCCTGTTCAGCATAGGGGCACCCTTAGTGTGCAGCATAAGGCTTTCCCCCATTTGATTGCTTTTGCTTGACTTTTGCCCTATTTTTATTAAGAAAACTCTTGGCAGACGGGACTCCAGTGACGATTGGGAGATTCCTGATGGGCAGATCACAGTGGGACAAAGAATTGGATCTGGGTCATTTGGAACAGTCTACAAGGGAAAATGGCATGGTATGTATGTTGTGACCTTGCCTCAAATCACAATAGCAGTATCTCTGTCATTCTCTGTAAAATAAAGTCAAAAAGTGTTCATTATGTACACCATTAAGCTATTTTTATCAAATGCAAGAATTCTACAAAGATTTCTGATAAAAATTAACAGAAAATAAATACTGAATTTTCAGGGCCTCTCTGGTTGGCTCAGGGATTAAAATCTCAGCACTATCAAGCTATCACCAGCCACTGCAGCATGAGTTCCATCTCCGGCCAAGGAGCTGACCCACATGGTGTAGCAGACCTCTCCTGTCTGATCTGCTGCTCCCCTTAACAGTGTATTTCCGTAGGTGCACATATTCTGCTCCCTCCTCTGTCTGCTGAATCCTCTCACCGCCCCCCCCCCATCTCTGGCTTAACCCCCAGTTTTTGTATGCATTAATAATAAATCTTAAAAAAAAGAAAAATAGAAACTGGATTTTCAGCAACCAGGACTCACATTACAGTAATGATTTTTAAAGATGATCGTCCAGGTGATCTAATTCCCAAAATATTTCCTTCCTTTTAGAATCATTCTGCCGATAGATTAATTTATATGATAAACCACAAATAAACATGTTAGAAGTGGTATCACCAAAGACAGAAATGATCAGTAATCAAATAAAAAATGTTCAGCTTCACAAGTTATCAAAGAATTACAAATTCAGAATATAGAAATCATTGTTTTTCTCAAGTGAAAAAAGTCTTTAAATTGATCATAATTTAAGTTGCGATTGTAATGCCATTGATGGGAAAGTAAACACTACCAATGTTCTGGAAGGCAGTTTGGCAGTATGCATGTTGAGCAAACAGTTCAGTTTCTGGAACTTTATAATGATAAAGTAATTGGAGAGGAATAAACAGATGTGTGTTGCAAGTGAATTTAATATTAATGAAAAATGGAAATAGACATAAGTGCCAGTTAATGAGGAATTGGATGAATTGATAACTTCCAAGTATAATGAAGTAAAATGGTTTATTCGATCTGTATTTATTGGTATGGGAAAGGTGCCTGTGGAATATTAAATTTTACAAAGCAGTATGTATAAATCCCATAACAGGGTGCTACATAGAAATATATTTAACATGATGTTGAAAGCAGCCATTAGTATTTTAGCATGTATCTTTTTTAGCTTATCTTTTTACATAGACTCCTAAATTTTCAGCCTCACGAGTTGCACAGTCACATTGCATGCATGTAAAGGCCTCATAGAAGATAACATTAGTCTATAACAAGGGTCTTTTCTGAGTGACGTGGTAATGGAAAATTTAAATTGTTTTGTACATTGAAAATGTTTATTACCTCTGTGACTTTAATAATCAAGAAAAATCAGTTAAGTTCACTTAACCTATTCAAGTAAAATATACAGTTGATAAGACACACATACATGTACAAATTGCTGAACTCTCAAAACGAACGTATCTGTGTTCTATAAACAAAGGCATCACCAGCACTGTAGAAGTTCCTCTATGCTTCCCTTACTCTCAGCAACCACTGTCTTGACTTTACCAAAAAGTCTCTTTTGTGTTTGGTGCCTTTTACTTATTATTGTTTAAAAGCTTCATCTATATTGTGAAGTGTAGTTGATCATCATTCATTCTCTAATAGTATTCCACTGTGGCCAAAACATGGTTGTTTTCCTATCTGTTGAACATCTGAATGGTTTCTAGTTTGACGATTATGAATACTGCTGCTATGATCAGTACTTCTCTTTTGATGAATATATCTATTTGAGGGGGTATATACCTAAGAATTGTGGGGCCAGTTTTGTGAACGTTGTTTGTTTGGCTTGGGTACCTATTGTTGTCCACAGTATTATTTGTGTAGTGCCAGCCACTGGCAGTGTAGGAGTTCTACCTGTTTTGTGTTAACTTTTTTTTTTTTTTTTTTTTTTAAGCAGAAGCAATACACGTTATCCATAGGGTTGTTGTTGTTGTTTTAATGTTAACTACTTTGATAAAAATTTTTGTTTTCTATTAAAGCCAATCACCTTTGAACCTATCATCTGTTTTTAGCATTTAATTTGTAAATTCAACTGATGTAATTTTATTAATTAACCAGGAAAATATTGTGGGCACTTAATAGGTTAAACTAAATTTTGAGGTTAAAAATAAGGCTGACTATTTTTGCGATTGGTATTTTGAAATATTAATATAGAAATATCATTGTTAATTTTTTAACCTTAGAAAATTAATGCACGTTAGGAAATTAAGGTATAATCTATATGCTAATGAATATTGATAAAATTGGACACTGAAAAGACTCAAGAATTTTTAATACCTTTATGTTTATGAAGTGACATTTGCAATGATAATTACCTTTTAGGTGATGTGGCAGTGAAGATGTTGAATGTGACAGCACCCACACCTCAGCAGTTACAGGCCTTCAAAAATGAAGTAGGAGTACTCAGGTGAGCTTGTGTGATGGCGCTTCCAGAGAGGGAAACTGTTTTTCAGTAATAGCCAGTTTTAATTGTATAGATTTAGTCAATGTGCATAAAATAAACTTTGTCTTTAACTATAGTCTTTTAAGTGGTATGTATATTATAGTATAGTTGATAAAAGAACTAACCCTGCAAATACTCATCTCTGATCATGAAAAATAATACTTTCAGTGTGGAAAGAATACTCTCAAAATTCTAAACTTGTCACATTTAGTGATTGTACCAAGCCCTGGAATTTGAAGAACATTGAAATTAAAGTCAGTCCAGGGAAGGGTAACCCAAGTGGGATTAGGGTTTTAGGATTGTGACTGGGGGTAAGGTAATAAACAGAATTAAGCTCTTAAGTTCAAGAGAGTACAAACTTACTGTTTTATTCCAGAACAGGGAAATCAGTGGTGGGAGTTGTAGGAAATTATTTTTTCTCAACCCAAAAATATCTTTCTAAACTAGAACATTAAAAATAAAATGTGAGAGAAATTACTACAGTTTCAGTGATGAGCTTCCCACAATTGAAATCTTTTAAATTTATCTTATTGTTTTTTTTTTAAATAACTTTTTCTAGTAACATCTGACTGGTACACTGCTTTGGCTCGCTTTTTGCAAATTTGCTAATAAGGTTTATTAACATTTATTCTTTGTCACTCACATTTCTTTTTATAGGAAAACTCGACATGTGAATATCCTACTCTTCATGGGCTATTCAACAAAGCCACAGCTGGCCATCGTCACCCAGTGGTGTGAAGGCTCCAGCTTATATCACCATCTCCACATCATTGAGACCAAATTTGAGATGATCAAACTTATAGATATTGCAAGGCAGACTGCACAGGGCATGGAGTAAGTTCCATTCTGTTAAACCTCCTGTAAATTACTCTTGAAAACCACTAAAAGTGTTTTAAAGATTTTAGCTGTGCTTTTGGTTTGCCATTGAAATTACTGTCCAGCAGTGATGGACATTTTGAGCTAATGGTTAGCAATATTATACTATGAAATAAAAGTGTCTCTAGTACAGTATTCGAAACATATTTGCTAATAAATATGACTACAAAGTTATATTTAGCATGTATGATTTAACTAAGTAGTGAAGGTTCAGAAAACAGAACAGTCAGATAAAACAACTAAAAAGTCATGAACACTTATTGAGGTATATAAAATGACTTAATTTATTCACTTAGCATTCTATAGTTTCTACTGCAAAATGATTAATTAATAAAGTTAGGGTGAAAATATGCATTCTGGTAGTTTTGAGGACTTCAAATTGTGCTCATATCTGTTGAATTTTGCTATGTAATTTAAAGATAAGTTACTTTAAAATATGTTTGGAAAATCTGTGGGTAGTTTTAAAATATGTGTGTTTCTTAATTTAACAGTTTGTAGTATACAAACTGCTTCCACATACATAGGTCACTAGTCCTTTAATTTTTTATGTTTTCAAGTAGGTATTTTTATCTTCTGCTTACAGATAAGGAAACTGAGGCTCTAAAGTAAGGACACATATCAATAATTGGCATTAGAGGTGTTTAACTTAAAAGCAATCCAGTAACCACTATGGTGCTTTTACATTATAAAACTGGAATAAAAAGATAATATGTACTAAATTTGCAACTCTGACTCAAGATCACCTACAAGTACATGTAGAACCTGTACTCAAATCCAGATCTGGCTCATAAATCTTCCCACGGTCCTACTCTTTCTGTTTTAAAATAGTCAATAGCTCTTTCATTAGATTATTTACAGGACTGACTCTTAATACAACACATAATTACCTTTCTCAATAACATTCGCACTGGACTTGAAACTATCTCAAAAAAAGAAAAGAAAAACACCAAAATTCAGCTTTCCATATAAGTAAGTCAGAATCTGTTCCAATTTGAAAGTTATTTAAAATCTTGTGAAGACTAAAGCATGGAAAAAGTAAACATTATGAGAGTAATAAAGCTGATTCTGCACCCCTACCCCCACGCCCACCCCATCAGTCCCTTTGCTGTTTCTTCAGCAGGGCAAGCATTCTCTCTCCTGGGGACCTTTCTGTTTGTTATTTTCTCTTTGGATTACTCATCCCACAATTATCCATACAGCTTGTCACTGTGTTGCTCTACTCAGATGTCACCTTTCAGATGGAGCCTTCTCTGATCACCTTATAAACCTGGTGTGTACCTACCCCACCCTGCCACTCTCAATATCCCGTCCTTGTTTTTGTTTATTTGTGCACCCAATTCCATATGACATAGCTGTTTCTTGTCTGTCACCCTGCTAGAATAAAAGCTGTGTGAGTACAAGGGCTTTGTTTTCTTCTTTCTCTTACCCTATGCCTAACTAGGGCTGGCCTATGATAGGTACTCAGAACATATTTGTTAAACAAAAAAAAAAAAAGAATGATCACACACAACTGCATTTATTCATTTACTTTCTAGAAGAGAGGAAGACAAATCCTTCACATATCAAAGCTGAGAAATGTCAAGGAAAAGGAAACTAGACACAGATATGGTAAAAGAGCAGAAAGCAAAGGACTTTAGCTATAAACAGAGACAACAAATAGTGTATTACGATGTGTTTACAGAAACAGTGCAGGGCTAGCCTTGCTAGAGACAAGCAGGGTCAGGAAAGAACACTGCATTGGAGACAGACTGGCCTGAGGGGGGTCAGTGAAGAAAGCTCCCCTGAGGTGGGTCAGTGTCATGTGCCCATAGCTTTACAGGTTAGGGGCTATAAGCACAAACCGTTTTGGGCTGTGATCTACTCTGAAGTAGTGGTAACTCACTACATGGTTACTGTCTACAAGCATTGATCATCCCATCAGGTATATGCCAGATTTTATTTTACTAGCAGAAAAAGTTTAGAGCCTTATAAAAGAGCATATTTTTTATTATCAGCTTAAAATTAATCTAAGAAGGTGTTTCTGTTTTTCTTTCTGTTCTTTATAAGACAGTAACAACTGGTTAAATGTATCAGTATGTGTTTCATTTCTGAAAGCTGTGACAGATTGAAAATCCTCTTATTAAAATGGCTTTGTGGGCTTCAGGTTAAGGTAACAGATTATTGCTCTTCCTTGACACTCTATTAAAACTGTAATAATGGAATTTGCTTTTAGCATGGGCATGTAGGGGTGGAAATAAGAAAGGAATCAGTAGCAACAACATTTTAAAATCTAGAGAGCAGATGGAGAAGGGATAGTGGACTTCATAGTAGGTCCCAAAAGCTAAATCATTAGTTAGCAAAGAGGAAATAAAAACCTGATTTATACCATAAAATCCTCAAGTCTCAGAAATGGCCAGTGCCATGTTTCTCTGGGAACATGGCTACATAAATGCAGGAGAAGGAAGGCTACGTGAATGAGGAGATCCGTATGAAAGCGTTTCTGAATCGGACCTCCTGCTCTGTAACATTGGTGACTGCCCCTTCTGACACTACCGGTAGACGAGAAGTGCACTCTCTGCAGAGGGAGAAACATCCTCTGGACCAGAGACATGGAAATGAAACCTTCACCTGAGACAAGGGGATTGGGCGATAAATTCGCAGGTCCAAGCTCTGAATTGTCTCCTAGAATACTAGCAATTGAATTTGTCCCTTCAGGCAGGAGATGGAAGGGTCATCTCTGAAGCATCTTACTAGTGAAAAAGAAAAAAACAAAGCTAGTAGCACCAGGGATCGCATCAGATCAGTGAATCAGGAATTCCCAAACTAGAAGACCTTTGGTGTGCTCCAAGATCTCCAGCATTGTTACAGTCCTTGTCTTAGTCATAAAGCAGACTGTCCCTGGATCACCTGTCACCAAGGGAAAATCTGCAGTGGGACTGAAACACCAAACAGGAAAGAGGGCAAGTGGGTGTAGCTAGGAAAGCCAAGCCCTCACCCTTCCAAAAACAGCACTTTCCTCAGAGAGAGAAAGGATTTTCTCTCCATGAAACAAGAACAGATGCTTTAGAAGGAGCACTCAAGTGACAACAAAAAGGTTAAAATGTTGGTTTTTACTTCTGTATGTACGCTTAGAAATGACATTCTTTGAGATTATTTAAACTTAACTTTTAAATGTTAATTTAAAATATTCAAGTAGTTACTCAGATTTTCAGAATTTTCCTAAGGCACTCCTCAGTGAAAAAAATTTGAAAACTAGATTGCAAAATGCTATATGGTTTTATATTAGCTCACCTTTTTGTGAAACAAAACTCAAAAGACATCACAGGTTTTTTACAAATTAAGTTACATAAATATGTATAATTATTTACACAAACTATATAATTTAACCTGGTAGTGTTCCTGATTCTTGATGCAGGGGATACCTTGTTTTTCCTAATACTAATGACTAGAGCACATTATTTTCATTCCATTTGGCTGGACTTTGTTTTTGTTAGAAAATAGTCGAAATCTGTCCTAAGGTACAAGTTAGTAGCAGATAATAAGTTCAGCGGGATCACCTGATTATTCCAGACTAATTATTCACTATTTAACACTTGCTAGTTATTTTCAACTCTTTGTTGAGCTTACCTCTTGGCTCAGAGCCACCCATTTCAGCCTCTTTTGGGTCTCCCTTTGTGTTTTAATTTCCCCCTGGTTCTTCCCATAGATCAGATAAAACAAGTAGAATTCCTTGCATGCCTTACTTTTCCTATTTCCAATTCTTGTTCATCTTGAATACTAGTCAAAGTTTCATCTTAAGGACTTTGTTTTGGAATCAGGCCCAGCAACTTTTCCAGCTTGGGGCCTACTGAGGTAATTAACGGCTTCTTAGTGCCCATCCATTTCTCCTTCCTTCAGTTCCTGGTCCTGCTAAAAGCTCTTTGCATGCATAGCTGACTTTGTTTAACTCTGGTCATCCTCAGCTGCTACCCTACGGTAACTCCTTTTAATGCTTCTTGCCTGGTCCTTTCTTCCACCAGCATTTCACAAAGGACAGAACAAGCTAGATGTAGCCAACCAGTAAGTCCATAGACTTTTTGAATAGTAACCTAATTGCTTTTGCGAATTCCTCATTTCACAACATTCTACCCCTATGCTGTTTTATAGTTACTTTGAAGATGATCCTTTCTACCTTCTAAAATGTATTCTAAATGCCTACTATACAAGCAGAATAAGAGCATTCTGATTCACTGTATAAAAAAGCATTATAATAAGGAAAGTTGAATCATTAAAACTTTCAGATATGCCATTTTTAGTGTATTACAGAATATAAGCAGATGATTGATGGGTGACACTTTTTTCTGTGTGGTTCGGTCTTTGCTCAGTGAAAGATCACTTCTGACTCCTAGGTTTACCGGAAGAGACTGAGCTGTTCCAAAGGTAGATAGTTAAGGACACAAATTATTCGACAAATGAGGTTTCATATAGCATCTTATCATCTTCTCACCTGACAGTCATCAGTGAGACCTGAGTCATTTTGCAGCCCCCCAAACTATTTCAAGAATGGTCAGCCCACTATGTCATATTTTTACAGCACTTCTAATTTCAATATTATTATGGGTAATTTTTAATTTATTAGAAAATTTACCAAATGTTAAATCAAGAAGGCACATAGAGAAAGTCATGAATTCTATTTGACTATACTGATTGTCTGATGGATAAAAGCAGTAATGAAAAGGAGGATGCTGATGATAAGAAAAATGCAAACTGAAACAAAGCACTTTTCACCCACTGAGATGGGCAAAGTGCCTAAATACTGACAAGTCAAGTGTTGGTAAAGATTAGGGACTTTGCTCACTGGGATACTTCTGATAAAATCAACAGCCTTGAGGAGTTGTGGATATATCTGGTAAAATCAGTCCACCCCAGGTAACACTGGCCTTTGTGTTAAGAGATGTACATAAGAGAAGCTGTATTACTAGTGAATACAGTCCAGTAAA